AAGAAATGGATAAATTCTTAGACTCTTACACCCTCCCAAAACTGAACCAAGAAATAGAGAGTCTGAATAGACCAATCACAAGTAAAGAGATTGAAACAGTAATCAAATCCTCCCCAAAAATAAAAGTCCAGGACCAGACGGCTTCTCTGGAGAATTCTACCAAACATTCAAAGAAGATTTGATACCTATCCTTCTCAAATTTCCAAAAAATTGAGGAAGGCAGGACACTTCCTAACACATTCTATGAAGCCAACATCATCCTGATTCCAAAGCCAGACAAGGACAACACGAAGGGAAATTACAGATCAATATTGCTGATGAACATAGATGCAAAAATCCTCAACAAAATATTGGCAAACCAAATATAGCAATACATTGAAAAGATCATACGCCATGGTCAAGTGGGATTCAAACTAGGGACACAAGGATGGTTCAACATCTGCACATCAATAAATGTGATACACCACATTAACAAAATGAGGAATAAGAACCACATGATCATCTCAATAAATGCAGAGAAAGCATTTGACAGGATCCAACATCCATTTATGATGAAAACTCTCAATAAAGTAAGTATAGAAGGAAAGTTCCTCAACGTAATAAAGGCTGTATATGACAAACCTACAGCCAACACATACTCAATGGGGAAAAACTAAAAGCCATCCCTCTGAGAACAGGAACAAGAGAAGGATACCCACTCTCACCACTCTTATTCAACACAGTACAGGAGGTTTTGGCCAGAGCAATTAGGCAAAAAAAAGAAATAAAAGGAGTCCAAATAGACAAGGAAGAAGTGAAACTCTCGCTGTTTGCAGATGACACAATTTTGTATATAGAAAACCCTAAAGAATCCATCAGAAAACTATTAGAAATAGTCAACAACTACAGCAGAGTTGCAGGGTACAAAATAAACTTACAAAAATCAGTTCCATTTCTATACTCTAACAACGAACTTAACAGAGAACTCAAGAATACAATCCCATTTACAATCACAGCAAAAACAATAAAATATCTAGGAATAAATTTAACCAAGAAGGTGAAAGACCTATGCAATGAAAACTGTAAGACATTGTTGAAAGAAATCGATGGTGACATAAAAAAATGGAAAGATATTCCATGCACATGGATTGAAAAAATATAGTTAAAATGTCCATATTACCTAAAGCAATCTACAGATTCACTGCAGTCCCAATCAGAATTCCAGTGACATTCTGCATGGAAATAGAACAAAGAATCCTAAAATTCATATGGGGCAACAAAAGACCCTGAGTAGCTAAAGCAATCCTGAGAAAAAAGACAAAGCTGGAGGCATCACAATCCCTGATTTCAAAATATGCTTCAAATCTATAGTAATCAAAACAGCATGGTCCTGATACAAAAACAGACATACAGATTAATGGAACAGAATTGAAAGCCCAGAAATAAAACCACACATCTATGGACATAATCCTCTACAAAGGAGCTAAGAACACACAGTGGAAAAAGGAAAGTCTCTTCAATAAATGGTGTTGGGAAAACTGGGCAGCCATGTGCAAAAGAATGAAAGTAGACTGTTATCTTTCACCATACACAAAAATTAACTCAAAATGGATCAAAGACTTGAAGGTAAGACCTGAAACCATAAAACTCTCAGAAGAAAATGTAGGCACCACACTCCTTGACTTCAGTCTTAGAACAGTCTTTTCGAATACCATGCCTACTCAGGCAAGGGAAACCAAAAAAAATCAACAAGTAGGACTTCATCAGACTACAGAGCTTCTGCAAGGCAAAAGAAATCAGGATCAAAACAAAAAGACAACCCACCAACTGGGAGAAAATATTTGCAAATCATATATCCGACAAGGGGTTAATCTCCATAATATCTAAAGAACTCACACAACAACAAGAAAACAACGCAATAAAAAAATGGACAAAGAATATGAACAGATATTTTTCCAAAGAAGATATACAGATGGCCAACAGGCGCATCAAAAGATGTTCAGCATCACTAATCATCAGGGAAATGCATATCACAACTACCCTAAGATACCACCTTACACCCATTAGAATGGCTGTAATCACCAGGACAAAAAATAACAAATGTTGGAGAGGATGTGGAGAAGAGGGATCCCTCATACACTGCTGGTAGGAATGCAAAAAGATGCAGCCACTATGGAAAACAGTATGGAGATTCCTCAAAAAGTTAAAAATAGAAATACCATGTACCCAGCTATCCCACTACTGGATATTTATCCAAAGAACTTGAAATCAACAATTAAACGAGACTTATTCACCCATATGTTCATTGCAGCATTATTCACTATAGCCAAGATGTGGAAGCAACCTAAGTGCCCATCTGTGTGTTATATGTATGTATCTGAAAAAAAAACCAAGGCTGAAAAATCAGTCATCTAACCATGAATCTTAAAATTTGAAAACCGTAACTTAAACTTCTATCAAAGAAAAGGAAAGGGTATGGTAATGATAAAGAACAAAAAGTAATGAAATAGAATAAAAACATATAGTAATTAAGGTCCACAAAGCCAAAAGTTGTTTCTTTGGAAAGACTGATAGACTTGATAAAACACCTGGTAAAACTGGTCAAGAAAAATGGAGAAGCAGACCCAAGCATTCTGTGCCGTGACTGAAATAGGGCATGTTACTTAAGATCTGTGGACATGGCAGAGGTAGGAAGAACATATTTTTAACTATTGATGGAATGAAATCTGTAATTTTAGAGAAAACTCTGGACCTCTCTGATCCTACTAGTAAGCTGTCCCAAGCATCAATCTAACACATTTTTTCCAGAGAATAGAAAAATAAGCAATACATCCCAACTCGTTTTACAAGGCCAGCTCTACTTGAAAACCAAATACCTAAAAGGGCATTATATAAGAATAGAAAACTACAAGCCAGTCTTATTTATGAACAGAGATACAGAAATCCTATATAAGTGAAGAAAGGGATAAACAGCATAAAAATCAAAAAGGAAGTATTAAAATGGTCATTTCTTCCAAATTGTTTATACAAAAAATACATATGAATCCACATATATGTTATTAGAATGAATTTTTTAGTTTATCCAGGTTGCTGATTAATAGGTCAGTATACAAGAATTATTTCTAAGAGTTGGAACAAAGAAGAAATGCATTTTAAATAGAGATATCACTTGCAATAGTATCAAAAATATCAAATACTAGGGATAAATGTAATAAAATATATTTAAGCCTTTTACACAATAAAATATTATTGAGAGAAAATTCAGAAGTCCTGCATGAATGGAGAGATATACCATAATCATGAACTGAAAGATTCAAAATTGTACAGAGGTCAGTTCTCCCAAAATTGATGTATAACTTCAGTGTAATTCCAATATGAATCTCAACATTTTTTATGAAAATTGTCAAACTGATTCTCAGGTTTATATAGAAATTCCAAGGACTGAGAATAACTAAATTACTCTGAAAGAAGAGAAAGGTGGGATAATTGCTCTGCTGGATATTAAGATCTTTTATAAAGCTATATAATTGATGACAACTTGGTAGTAGCACAATGATAGAAAAATAGAGCAATGGAAAAAGAATAGCGAATCCAGAAATAGATCCATGCGTACATTATACTTGCTTTGTGATAAAGTTGGCCTTACAGAGCAGTAAGGATGGTCGTTTAAACTTTCTCCTTTTCACATCATACACAACAGTCAATTCCAGATGGATTATAGATATAAACATAAAAAGCAAAACAATAAAGCTCCTCAAAGATAATATAGATTATATTTATGACTTCAGAGTAGGGAAAGATTCATAAAACAGAACACAAAACCCAGTAGCCATGAACTAAAATATCAATAAATTCAGCTACATTAAAATTAAGGACTTTTTTTTTTTTATCAGAACACACCATTGAGTGAATAAATGGCAAGCCACAGAATGGCAGAAGTTACCTGCACACATATAACCAAAAAAGTACTCAAGTCTTAGAAATCAAATCCCTATAAGTCAGTAATAAAAAGATAATTATCTCCAATATAATACTGGCAAAAGATTGAACAGGCAAATCAGAAAAGAGGCCAATGAACACGTTAAAAGATGTTTAATAGCATTAGTGACGAGGAAAAGCAAATTAAACCCTGATGAGATATCTTTACATATCTACCAGAATGATTTAAATTTAAAAGTCTGACAATAAAATGTTTATGAGGCTGTGGGGTGATGGAACTCTCATATGTTGCTAGTGGGAGTGAAACCTAATCCAACTATTTTTGAAAAACTTTTTAGCATCTTCTAAAGTTGAAGGTATGTATAGTCTGTTTGTAAACCACCAAAGTGTACAAAATTCAGTTGTCCAGGATCGATAGAATGGATAAAAGAGAGTGTATTCATACCATGGAATTCTGTACAGTGCATAAAAAAATGTATAGCTACAGAAAACAATGGTGATGAATCTCACAACCATTATGTGGAGTGGCAAAGAGCACAAAAGAATACATACTGTGTGATTACATTTACATGAAGTTCGAAATACACTAAATGTTTAACAGTGCAAGCTTAGATGGTAAGCTATAAGGAAAAGCAAGAACGTTAATACCATAAATGGCAGGATAGCAGTTGTCTTTAGAAAAGTGAGAAGGTGTAGTAATTGGCAGGGGATATGAGAGAGATCTTTCGTTTGCTGGCAATGTTCTATTTCTTGACCTGGGTGCTAGTTTTATGGGTTAATTCACTGAGCTCTACTTTTTTGTCTTGTGTATTTTTTATGTATGTTATTTCACATACACACGTACACAGAAAAAGGTTAAACAAAGTATTGCATTACGAAAGAATCGTTATGCAAAGAGGTGAAGCAATTAGAGTTACTAAAGTGATTGTTTTTAGACTATTTCAGTGCTGTACCACATTCAGTACAGTCAACTTGACAGTGAAAGGTGCTGTATGGTAAAGTGAACAAACTTGATTGGAAGGTTCAACTGTGAAAAGGTATGTAAGATTGTGATCTTTTTCACCTATAAATGTGTTTTGCAGGAAACAAGTGTTCATAGTCGGTTGGGGGTTATTTATAATCCTACATCAAAAATAAATGAAGAGAACACAGCTATTTCTAGAGGAATTTTGGCAGCTTTTCTTACACAGAAAAATAGCTTTTTGAGAAACTTTCTCAGGAAACTGGCAAAGGAAGAAACTGCTGCAGCTATTTACTCTGGAGATAAAATTAAAACATTTCTTACTGAGGTCAGTAGCTATTTGTTTGAAATAATAAATGAGTACTGTTGCATATTTTAAATAAAAGTATGTAAATGTACTTGGAGATATCATGTTACAGAAAAACATCAATAAATAAGTATAATCAATTGGGGGTGGGTAATAAACATTCCTTTACAATGGGAAAAGATAAATGTTAAATGATACACCTTTGCATAGAGACATTTAGCAAATCAAACTTCATATGTTTCAACCGCTACTTCATGATCCTTTAGAGCTGATGGCATTTTAGTTAGGATGTGTACTTAAGTGAAGAATTGGGAGTTAAAGGATTATGTAAATAATCCTCAGGTATTTCCTTGAAGGGGTCCAGAATGGGGGAAATTCAAAAGATAGAAGATGGTCCTCTGGAAGAAAGATTCATCAATCCATTCAAAAAATACTGATTGTGGGGCTGGCCCCGTGGCCCAGTGGTTGGGTTCGCACGCTCTGCTGCAGGTGGCCCAGTGTTTCGTTGGTTCGAGTCCTGGGTGCGGACATGGCACTGCTCGTCGAACCACGCTGGGGTGGCGTCCCACTTGCCACAACTAGAAGGACCCGCAATGGAGAATATACAACTATGTACTGGGAGGCTTTGGTGAGAAAAAGGAAAAAAATAAAATCTTAAAAAAAAAAATTGTTTTAAAAAAAAAAATACTGATTGTCTACTAGACAATAAAGATACTTGTGAACAAGGCAGATAGAGTGTCTGCTCTTGTGGAGTTTATGTTGTAGTGGGAAAGACAGACAAAGTAAGTGATATTGGAAAAATATAAAGAAACGTAAGAAGGTTGATAGTTTGAGGGATGCCCTTTTGCTTGAGTAGTTGGGGAAGGCATTTCTAGAGAGCTTACGTTTGAGCAGAGCTCTGAGTGAAACGAGAAATCAAGTCACGGGAAGTCTGTAAGAAGATCTTACCAGGTCCAGGAACACAGCACGTCTAGAGGCCTGATGCAGAGACTTCTTGCCAGGTTTGAGGTATAGGCAGACCGTTATGACCAAAGTAGGGTGATGTGGAGAGTACTAGGAGATGAGGGCAGAGACATAACTCCAGATATTTCAAGCACTTGTAGGCCATGGTAAGGAATTGAATTTTTTTTCTGAGTATAATGGGAAGCCATTGAGGAATCTTGAAGCGGTGAATAATCTTTAAAAAGATGACTCTGGGCGCCGGCCCCATGGCCTAGGGTTAGGTTCAGCGTGCTCTGCTTCACCAGCCCAGGTTCAGTTCCTGGGTGCAGACCTATACCACTCAGAGGTGGCCATGCTATGGCAGTGACCTACATACAAAATAGAGGAGGATTTGCACGGATGTTAGCTCAGGACAAATCTTCCTCAAGTCAAAAAAGAAAGGAAGATTGGCAACAGATGTCAGCTTAGGGCAAATCTTCCTCAACAACAACAACAACAAAAAGATAACTCTGGATGCCATGTCAAGATTTGATAGTAAGTAGAAAAGAGTGGAAATAGGGTGAGCAATTAGGGTGCTATTGTAGTAATCTAGGCAAGAAACAATAGTGGCTTGGACTAGAGAGTAGTGGGAGAGTTGGTCAGATGGTTGATACATAGTATTTATTACAACTTGGGTCAGCAGAATGAGCTAATTTGTATGTGATGTGAGGGTAATACAGGATTTTGGTTAGAACAGCTAAAATTAATGGTGGTGTCTTTTTTTGAGTTGGGGAAGTCTAGATGAAGAGACTTGGACACACAGATGATTGAGTTAAGTTTTGTATGTGTTAAGTTAGAGATGCCTGTTGGACGTTCAAGTGGAAATGTTGAGTTGCCAAGTAAATGAATGTAGAAATCAAAGGAGGGTTATAATATCTTTTTGAGAGTCAATTTAAGACTCATCAGCATTATATGTAATTTAAAGCTAAGAAACTGGATGAGACACCTCAGAAGTGAGTGAAGGGGTAGAAAACAGAGGGACTGAAAACAGAGCCCTAGTACATTCTACCAAGTAGGTACACAAGAAAAGGATAATCCAGTAAAGGAGACAGATGGAACAGCCAGTGAGTTAAGAAGATAACCAGGAGAGTATAATATCCTGGAAGCCAGTTGGAGAAAGTATTTCAAGGAGAGGATGATCACCTGTGCCAGATGTTGCTGAAATTAGGCTTCATAATTGCCCATTTTATTTGTTAAAGTGGTCATTGGTGGCTTTGATAGGAACAGTTTCAGTGGAGTGGTACATGTAAAAGTGAGTTAGATTCAAGAGAAAATGTGAAATCAGGAAATAGAGACAATGAGTATAGGTAGCTCTTTAAAGGAACTTTTTTGTGTGCGCATGTGTGAGGAAGATTTTTGCTGAGCTCACATCTGTGCCGATCTTCCTCTATTTTCTACGTGGGATACCACCACAGCATGGCTTGACAAGCAGTGCTAGGTCGGCAACTGGAATCTGAACTTGCGAACCCTGGGCCACCAAAGCAGAGCATGCAAACTTAATCACTATGCCAACAGGCCGGCCCCCAGGAACTTTTTTATATGGGGAACAGAGAAACATTCTGTAGCTATTAGAATGGAGTTTGTGGATCAAGGAAGGATTTCTAAATTTGAGAAATGTCACTTTCGTGCATGCTAATGGAAACAATCCATCCAAACAATGAGAAAGGATGATATAGAGAGAGGAGAGCAAAGTTCTTGAGTGGATGAGAAGTGCTGGGATCCAGTACACAAGTGTTCAGTGTTGGTCTTAAGAACAGGACCCATTTTAACCAGGAGAAAGGCAGAATATAAGGGTACAGATGCAGAAGGGCAGATTTATTTGGTGGTGGCAAGATGAAGTACTTCTCTTCTGATTGCTTTCATTTTCAAAAAAGTCAGGTAATTAGTTCAATATTAGAGGGAGCAGACGTTAGTTAATAGAGGTTTGAGGAAAGAGGAGAAAATGTCAAATATTTTTCTATTATTCTGACAGTGAAAAAGTGAATTGAGTATGTAGTGTGGGAAGATTTCCGAGAGCCCACATGAGGTTAATGACCGTAATTGAAAGTGAGAACAGCGTTGGTTGCATGTTTTTCTCCAGCTGTGTTAACACTGTTTGGATCCAGTTGTCCAGAGAAAGCAGAGTTGTCTTTAACCAGAGTTGGGGTTTTGCCATGTCAATATGACTAAGGGGGAGCGTTCAGGGGAACTGCATGGAAGGTTTTGTTGTAGTCAAGGATTCTGGGGTATAACTCGGTTAGGAGGAAAATCACAATAAGACAACTATCAAGGACAGTACCTAAGTGGCAGGGTCTGTGGACTGAGGGGTTGAGTAGCAGTTGGTCTGGTGACAGTGGAATGAGTGAGCTGGGAGTGCAGGAGCTTGTGATCAAGGAGACGATGGAGGTGGAGATTCTGGAAGTAAGGAGCATCTAGGCTGCACTGTACTGGCTACGTGTGGCTATTTTAAACTTAAATTTTAAATTCAGTTCTTCTGTCATACTAGCCCATTTCAAGCGCTCAATAACCATCTGTGGCTGTGGCTACGATATTGGACAGTGCAGGGGAACATTGCTATCATCACAAGAGTGCCTGGGAACTTGTCAGAAATTCAGAATTTAAGTCCTCGCCCTGGATCTACTCAAATAGAACCTGCATTTTAACAAAGCATCCAAGTGATGTGTATGCACATTAAAGTTTGATAATGGCTCATATAGAGAACTGCGTCTTAGCATGAAGGTGTAAAGAACCTATTCGTGGTTTATTTTTTGTGGATGTCCATATTTTTTTGACTCTGACCAAGGGTTACTTTTCTATTTCAGAAATTAAATGTGCTGTTACTAAAATAGTTTTGTGGGATTGGTATAATGGGGTGAGATAAGGTATTTCTATTTTAAACACTGTTTTTTATTGATTGCATCAAAATGGGGGTACTGAGTTCAGAATTTAATAAACACTTCATTTCTCTAATGTTAAATTTTATTTAAGTTGATGTTCCTTAGCATTTTACTAATCAATAATCCAACTCAAATTCTCAAAGGCTGAATTACAAACTGTAGCTACTTGTAACAAGATTTACAAATATTGTAATTGACTTGGTAAAGGAAGATTCTTTTTTTTTTAAGTGTAGTTTCAGAAGAAAGTGCTTTTTAAAATCATAGTTTAGTATAATTTTAAATTTTATACTAATATATTAAAGTAGGCATTGTTAGGAAAATGATTTAATATGTTTACTGTTCTCATATAAGTTTCATCATTCTTATGCTTTAGGGGATGGAGAAGAATGCTTTTGAGAAAAAATATAATACCGTTGGAGTGAATATTTTCCGAACTCACCAGTTGTTCTGTCAAGACGTACTCAAATTGCGTCCTGGAGAGTTAGGTGTTGTCAGCAATGGGAAAGTAAGTAGGAAAAGCCGTTGTTCACTTTTCTCAGTGACACTGTGCTACAGAGGTCTCAGACTTTTCTGTCACAACACACCTGATGCAGCACATGGGGAGGACAGTGCTCACGTGCTAGACACACCAGACAGGCCTCAGCATCAATAACATGGCGCTGAGATGTCCAGTCCACGGCACACTGCCTCTTACTTCTCCCTTTCCCCCGTTGGTGACAATGTTGAATGCAGGTAAGGAAGAATGTTCTTGTGGGGGTGACTTTTATTTTGTTCTAATATAAGTACTAGAATAAACCACTTGGTACACATGACAACATTGTGATTGAGATCCACTGTTGTAGTAGGTGTAGAAAGTATATTGTGACATCTTTCTCTTGTGGCTTTCCTCTACAATTGATTATGTTAAATAACAATATGATTAAGTTAAATAACAATACAATACTTTTATAAGTTTTGAAGTATGAAGTAGTGTTTATTAATGTAATCTTTAAAAATCTATAAGATTTAAAAAATCAGTCTTAAAAAATCACACTTAAGTCACTCTTACTCCCACTATCCTAATAAAATTTATTAAGAGCTTATTGTTTGACCTTCTAACCATTTTTTCTACCCTACATAACTATTTCTGTTTTTTTAAATACACAATTGTAATCCTACTGTGTATATGTAATTTTCTATCACACTTTTTTCTTGTAGTATATCACATTCTTCTGATTAAAGAGTCTTTATTATATACATGCAAAATTAGTGGATAATGTCTACTTATTAATATTTTTTGAATATGATAGTCTGATTTTATTTCTTAGGAATGATTTAAGTTTAAAAAAATTCAATCTGATGCTTAGATTTATTAGGAAATCAATTAATGCAAAGTATTTGACACATCTCTGCTTGCACTATCAAATTATATATCCCCAGATCATCTTCAGAGCTCAAATACCCCCTCAATGTGCTCTTTGTTTTCTATATTTTTATGGGCTCTATTCACCTGTGTGTTTTATTTCCATATCATTATCCCCTTAAAATTATGCTTATTTATTCTTTCTTATCTGAATCTGTAGATAATAGGAGTTGGAGAATAGTGAGGGACTCATATCCCCCAGCCACCACAGATCAAGTATATCTGCTTCCGTGAAACAGTTTTTGAGCTGACTAATTGTGTTAGCTGCTAGTCAGTTAGACTCAGGTTTATCTGTGTACAGTGCTATTTTACAACTTGATAACAATGGTTGCCATTTATTATTACAATAATATAAAGTATTAGTAAATTTTGATAGTGAGCTATGTGGAAGCCCAGAAATAGCATTGCTTTTTCTCTTTAACAGTTTCTTTGGGAGGAAATATAGCTTTTTAGGATAGTTTTAAAGTATGTGGCTACCTCTGGCTCTGTCAGGCAGTTTAAGAGATAAAGAGGTAAAAAATTACACCAACTGTATCTAGTACCTTGCCTCTTGGTTATACATTATGGAAAAGCTACCTTATGTTTTCTTTGTCATTGTTTAATATATTCATATATTGTCAATATTAGTGACAACAAATATTAGTTATAGTTATATTCATCTTATTTCTCCTAGAACTGTTTCTTTCTCATTTTCCTTGAAATTGACAAACATATTCAAATGTTAATTTCTCACCTGCTTGAACCAAACGTTCTTCTAGGTTCTGAGTACAGTAGTGAACAAACATGTTTTCATAGAGTTTACATTTTGGTGAGCAGAGACAGATCATAAACAGCATCTTTACTGATAAGGTATCATTTGGACAGAGAACCAAAGGAGGTGAGGGAGCAAGCTGTGTTGAATATCTGAAAGAGGAATGTTGTAGGTAGAGGGAACAGTGAGTGCAAAGGTCCTGAGATGAGATCATGTCTGTGTGTTCTAGGAGTAGCAGGCGTGCAGGAGAATAGTTAGGAGAGAAGTCCAGAGAAGTGGCTGGAGGCCAGATCCTGTAGGGTTGTATAGGCAGTGAATGAACGAGTCATGAAGCTTACAGTTCTGGGCAGGGAATTGACATGTTTTGTTTGGATCGCTGGTGGCTGTTACATTGAGAATAGACTGTAGGGGCTCAGGAAACCAGTTTGAAGAGAGAGTGATGGTGGCTTAGACCAGAATGGTGTTAGCGGAAGTAGTGAGAAGTGGACGTGGGATATGTTTTGGAGGCAGAGTGAACAGGAATTGCTGACACACTTGATGTGGGATATGAGACAACTGTGTAACTAGCAGAATGGAGTTCCCTGTATAAAGTGAGGAAGACTGCAGGAGGAGTGGGGTTGTTCAGGGAGACTGGGAAGGGAAAGAGAGAATTCAGTTCTGGACATATTAAGAGTTCAGTGTTCAGCTCTGGACCTCCAAGCAGACTTGTTGATCAGCAATTGAACATAGGAGTTGAATTCAGGGAAGAGGTTGGAGCTAGAGATAGTATTAAATGAAATTATGTTGAATTTTTGTGTTGATTACTAGAAAATTGTAATTTTGATTATCCTTTTATTTGTAGAACTGTGATTTGAGTAGAGTACAATGTAGCCAAAAATAAGTACTGTGGTTTATGAGCTATAATGTAATACCTAATGTATTACTCTCTCATTGTAATGCTGTAAAGCACAATAATCACAGCAATTGGAGCAGTTAGTTATCGCTCTGAACCAACTAGTTTAATGCTTGAAATAATTCTGGCATTTTAGAATCAATCTTCATTTGAACCTGTCCCAACATTTATGTTAGAATTGGAACATAGTCAAAGTTAAAATTGCTTATAAATGATCAAAACTGGGGTGCAGTGATTATCTCATACTTTCTTACTGAGATGCTGAAGAATTAAAACTTTATGCGTTTTAATATTAAAACCCTAAATAATGCTGTTGCTGTAATTATAGTAAATTTATTTTTATCACACTGCCTATTTACAAACTGCTGGAAGACAGCGGGTAGCAGAAGCTAGGGAAACAAGCATGGCCTTTTTTGATTCAGCCAGACAAACCTAGATTCAGATTCAGGTGCACCATTAATTATGTGACCTCTCTGAGACTTGGTTTCTTCATTTGGACAATGGGAGTAGTAACAGTGTCTTTCACAGAGTTGTCAGAGAGATTAAATATACTTAACTCCTATTTTCTCTTTAAGTATTTGAAGGCTTTCATGGGAAATAGTGGGCAGATTTGTAGACTTGATTGTGTTACTCTTGGTGAAGGTCAGTATGTTATCAAGGCCAGTTGACTGAACTTCTGTGAGTGAAGAGAGCTTTTCTACTCAGGATGTGGATGAACCCTCTAACAGAGGCTTCTAAAATTTTAATGAGCTGTCAGAGGAGGTAATGCATTTCTGTTACAGCAGTTATTCTGTATAACTGAAAAATCACATCTCCAAAATGTTATAAAGAAGATTTAAGCTCCAGATAGGTTTTATTTTACTATTACATGATTTTGAAGTTAAATGTTCCTTTTCCCAACTCAGACATTATGTGATTTGATACTATTTAAATTACTTTATTACAAATATTATATTCAACTTTAAGTAGAAGAGCTAAGACACAACAGAATCAATTTTCTCCTAACTATTTGAGACTGTACTTAGAAAGGTGAAATAGAGCTGGTTCTCTGGTGAATTTAATTGATAAAGATAGACAATCTTGTTAATCCCTTAGGAAAATAATTTCATATTTCCTTATTCTGAGTTATTAACAAAACTGCTTAAGTCACTAGAGATGATATATTTAAATTCAACTATTTTCCAGGCCTCTCCTGTTCGTAGTCTTAAAAATATAACCTTGAAAGTGCTTTCAAAGTTACCTTAAAAACTAAAAAACAAATGCCAACCAAAAAAAATTTCTTTAAAAATATCAAATCTTAAGGCAATGAAATATTTATGTACTTTTCATTTTATAGTGCCTAGTTTTGCATTTTTAAAAGCCCGTGTCTTATGTTTAAGGGTAAACATGGTGTTTGTTTAGCTGTAAGGCCAACGTCCCAGCTAATAGCCTCTTTGATATGAGCAAATGACAAAGATCCAGGAACTATACTTCATTAATTTTTAGAAAATATTAATTGCAGAAGTAGATGAAGGGGAAGTGAGAAAATCTGCTGCAGCCATTTCACTCTGTTCTTTTTACCAAGAAAAAAAATATTCTAGCTGACGCGTTTTCCAATTGTTTGTTATTAATTGTTTAGCACATAAGACTGTGTCAGGCTCACCTTCTACCTCAGGGCTTGTGTTCATGAGATTATGGTGATTGCGTGTATCAGCTTCCTCAGAAAGTGCTAATAGTAGTGGAGTTGGTGGTGGTTGTGATGGGATAGCCATCCTGAGAAATTAGATGTGGACACTGACTGTGACAACCTCCCCGTCTGTAGTTACTGGAGTAAAGCTAAACTGTGTGAACGTGCTGTGCTCCAAACCACTAGACAACATCAGTTAGACGAAGATTGGTTGGTATTATAATTATCTGATTTGTCTCTCGGTTTTTGCTCTTTTATCCCTTGCTTATGTGTTAATTCATATCTACATAGTGTAGACTACATTTACAGATGAATAGAAAATTGAAATTAAAAGATTTACAAAGTATAGACAGTTGCTTTCATAATTTACTTTAGAATGAAAAGCCTTAGGTTTCTGGAAGAATTATGTTTCAAAGTAAAACTTTCAAATGAAAATAATTTGCTGCTTTTTAATTTTGTCAGTTTAGTTTTGGTATTTATGTAAATGTTATTTGTAATATCAAAGTGAGGAAATATTTTTCTCTTCTTTGTTTCCTAGTAGATTTAGTAAATGATGAGATTAATAGCCGCCACCTGTTTAATCAACTTTTGCTTAAAGAAATATCTATTTGATGAGAAAATATTTGTCTCAGACTGATATTGTCTAGAAGATGCACAATAATATAACTGCTTTTATTTTAAGTTCTTAGGACCTATAGATGAAAATTTCCATGCGGAAGACTTTTACTTGTTGGAAAAGATAACATTTACTAATTTAGTAGAGAAAATTAAAGGCATTGTTGAAAATATGGAAATCAAATCAAAGAAGTAAGTATTTAAATCTAAGAGCAATTCATTTTGGGGTTTGGTATTTCACATCCTATTTTTTCTTTTTAAGATGAGAAAATGTTTCAAATATGTACACAAGTAAAGATATAATAAAAGACATATAGAGAATATAGAGAAATAATAAATGATCCCCATTTACTCACCACCACCAAACTGTAGATGTTAATATTTTGTTTTATTTGCCTTGGATCTGCCTGTCTCTTTATTTCTTACCCACCCATCCCATTCTCCTCCTTCCCCAAGAGGTAACCATTTTCCTAAACTTTGTGTGCATGATTCCCATATTTGTGTTTCTACTTTTGCTTCATGTGTAAATATCTATTATTAGTGTTTATTGTGTTGAAGACCTTGACATTTTTAGAGAAATGCTATATTATACTGAAGGCTCCTTTTGCAGTCTGCTACCATAGGAGCTTTATCCATGTTCATGTGTATAGAGCTAGCTTACTCATTTTAATTCCATTTGAGTCTTTCATCTTGTGAGTATACTGCGGCTCCTTTATACATCCATTACTGAGGTACAGTTAACTTGGCTTTAGTTTTTTACTGTTAGAGAAATGCTATAATGAACCTGCTTTTAAAGGTCTCCTTTTGCAGTGTAGGTTTCTCTAGAGTAGAAGAGTGTTGTTAACTGGATTGTAGAGTATGTGTATCTTCGACTCTACCAGATATTGCTAAATTCTGTCCTTTAAAGTAGTTGCAACAATTAACACTCCCATCAGAAATGTATAAGAGTTACTGTTTCCCCAAGTCCTCACCAATACTTGGTGTTATCTGCCTTATTAATTTTCCTGTTTGATGGGATGTGAAATTGTATCTTGTTTTATTTGCATTTCCTTGACTTCTAGTAAAGTTGAGTATCTTTTCATGTGATTATTTTCATTCATGTTTGCTCCTCTGTAAAATACCTGTTCATATCTTTTGCTTAGTTATCTGTTGGATTATTTTCTTCTTTTAGTGATTTGTAAATGTATTTTCTATGATTCTGTATACTAATCTTTATCTATTATATGTGCTAAAAATATAATATTCCAGTTTGTGGCTTGGCGGTTTACTTTTTCATTGTCTTTTTACCACGTGCATAGAAGTTTTTTATTTTACTGTCGATGTATTATCAGGGTTTTCCCTTTGTAGTTTGTCTACGACTATGTAAGTGAGGGAGTTTGTGTGTGTGTGGGTGTAGGATGAATAAGAATTTTCCTTAGTCTGAGTTCATAAAGATATTCTCCTTTATTTTCTTCTAAAAGTTTTACAGTTCTGCTTTTTTTCTGATTTATATCTTTAATTCTTCTTGGATCTTTACACCGTGCTGCTGGTATCTGCCTTATGCCAGTCCCCCCGCAGTTACTACAGCTTCATAATCAACTTGGATGTCAGATAGTGAAAACTCCCCCTACTTCCTCTTCTTCAAAATTGTCTTGACTGTCTTTTGCTACTTGCTTTTCCATATAAATATGCTTAGGGTCAGTATAAAAAGTTCTACAAAAAAAACTGCTGAAATTTTTATGGGAATCTCTTTGAATTGATAGGTTAGTTTGAGAATTGCCACCTTTATATAATATTAAATCATCCCAACCATTAAATATATACATATATTATTTATATGTAGCTATCTAAATGTATATATAATATATATTTAAAATATGTAAATCATATATAACTGATATATATGGTATATAATTTATATTTAAATATATATATGAGACTAGGTAGGTAGATAGGTAGTTAGACAGACAGGCAGACTTATTTAGTGTTCCTTTTAGATCCTTCAGTGAAGCTTCCATTTTTCTCATGAAATCTTGCACGTGTTTTTAGATTTATTCCCTAGTACTTTATACTTTTTAGCTCATATTGTAAATGGTGTATTTTAGATTACATTTTCAAATCATTTATTGCTAAATTATAGGAACAGTATTAAGTTTCTGTGTTGATGTCCCTTGCTGGACTATCTTATCTTTTGTAACATTTTGTCTAATGTAAGACACTCATGTCATTTGTGACTTATAACAGCTTTGTTCCTTAAGTTCCAGTGTTTAACTGTCTCATCTATGTTGGCCTTTCTCTTGTTTTAGTTTGCTCAATTTAGTGAGGGATATATCTGTTTTACTACTCTTTTCATATATGTAGATTTAGGACATGACAGGCTCTTAATTGTTTTTTGTTTGTTTTTATCAATTTCAGTTCATTATTTCTTTTTAATCTGTTCTTTTTTATAAACTTCTCAAGTTGGATTATCTTATTAATATCACATTTTTTTCCTTTCATCCTTTTAAATTACAGGCTTGAAATTTCTTTCTAAACACTTATTTAGCTGGATCCCAGAAGTTGTAAAATATAATTATTTTGTAATGATTCAGTGCTAAATATTTTCAAATTTCTGTTTTGATTTTTTAAAATTTTTTTTATTTTTTAAAGTATTTGAAATATTTAGAATGTTGGCTTCATGAAGGCAAGTTCTTTGTCTATTTTTTTTGTCTTTTTTAATCTCCTGTGCATAGAATTGTGCCTAGATCTTATTAGGCACTCAGTAAATATTTATTGAATAAATAAATGAATAAAGTGTGTTTTGAAAATTTTAAATGGCACACTGTGTAATTGATTTCCAGTTTATTTTGAACTATGATTAGAGAACATGGATAAGTTATTTGGTATTTATTTCTCTTAATTTTGTGAGACAGGGTTAATTTTTATCATTGCATACTTATTTTTTTTAAAGACATTCTCTAATTGTGTGGAAGATTTTATATATGTCTATCAGATTGAATGTGTTATTTTTTTTCAGATCATAGAAATACTGAATTTTTCTTTGTTTTGTCTGTCAGTTACTAAGAGAAGTTTGTTAAACACCACTGGGATTCTGGGTTTATCATTTAATTCTTGTAGTTTTTTCAATTTTTGTTTTAAATATTTTGAGCTATATGTCGTTACATATACCGTTTCAAAATTATCTTTCTAGTGAATTATTCCTTTCATTATAATATAAATTACTCTTTTCCTAATAATGATTTTATCTTACAGTGTATGGGGTCTGATAGCCACATCAACGTCCTTTTTGGTTAATATTTTTCTGTTATACCTTTTTCTGTCCTCTACTTTTAATGTATCCATGCATCTCACAGCATACGGCTGTGCCTTGGGGGTGGTTATCTTGCCAGAACTAAAAGTTCTGATTTTTAGTCTTGACTACAGAATTCTGATCCAGATGAAACTATGTCTTACTTAATGTATCATTTAGGAAGTGATATTTCTTAAAAATTCATCATTTAGTAAATTATGTTAATAGAAAATTATAAATGTTTGTGAAGTAGTAAACTAAGGGTTTTTCTGCAGTGAAGAGATAATATCCACGTTATTTTCAAATGGAATAAAACTAAAGAAAACTTTCAAAAGCAAAAAAAGTTATGATTTTATAATTAAATAATTTAGGTCTAGTATATGTTGAAAAGCCTATAATTCAGTAATTATTTGTTGAATTTTATAAATATGCTAATATTTCAGAGGTAATTTTTTTAACCTTGTTTGGTAAAAATTATAATCGTAGTTTTAAGAAGGTTCAGGAAGCTATTTTAGCCACTTTTAAAGCTGCATTTCAAACCAAAACTACCACCAAATAAGAAAACCAAGAATGTTAAACCATAACCACCTCCCCTCTAGTTGTCTTAACTTGTTGCATGCACGCAAATAATACTAAGCAAGTTATGTTGTAATTAGAATACATTAATATTCACTTAAATCTGAACATGTATTAAAAGTATGCATCCTTATTATGTTTTTCAAGAGTTAGTTAACTAGGAAGGCAGAACTCTGAATGCCAGAAACAGAATCCTTGGAGGGACTGGCACAGTGGCATAGTGGTTAAGTTCATGTTAGTGGCCTGGGCTTTGCAGGTTTGGAGCCTGGGTGCAGACCTAGCACTGCTTGTCAAGCAATGCTGTGGTGGTGTCCCACATAAAGTAGAGGAAGATTGGCACAGATGTTAGCTCAGAGCCAATCTTCCTCACACACACACAAAAAACAGAATCCTTGGAACCACTATCCCGAGGAGCACAGAAAATCTACTTCTAATGGAGTGATTACTACTTGCTGTGCTCTGAGAGATGTCTCCAGTTCTCAAGCAGTAGGTGCTGCATTTCAGGTGCTCTTTTCCCTCTTTAATTCAGAGTACTTTTCAGAAAGAAAAAAACTGACCTGGATAGCTGAAAATTCAGCAGAGAATCTAAGAAAAAGTTGTTTCAGTCTCAAAGATTGTCCTTTTCTCCGTTTCCCCTCCTGTTGGTCCATACATACTACTTTGAGCAGTCAGCCCAGTTTAAGAAGTGTGGAGAGCATGTTGACCATAAATATTTCCTCCAGTTTTACATATTAGGGATTATGTGGCTCATAAGTAAATATCTTTGAAAGAGTATGTGAATAGAGATTATGGTTTTGATTAATTAATTCATTTGATGTGTTTATTAAGTGGCCATTAAATGCAATGCTCTGTGAAAGGTATGGTAGGTATTACAAATAGAAATAATACAAAGTCCTACATTTCAGAACTTTACAGTTCAGTGAAAGATGATATACTAGAAAGATACAAGGGTCTCAGCCACTTTGAATCTAAATTTCTTTGTTTATTAAATGGAGTTGCCAATCTTTTCTTTCTTTTGTTTTTTTTTAAGTAAGCCTTCCTTAAAGTTCAGCCAACATTTTTCTGTCCCAGTGTATCATTCAACATATAATACATTTTCTCTGTCATGGATTTTCGAATTTGGTTACATTTAATCTAGGTATTTATTTTGTGCAACCTTAATTAGTTTTCAAACTAATTTGAAACCATAGAAATCTGGGCTTCTTAACTATATTAAAAATTTTTTGAAAGTAAATACCCTATTATTTACTTTTTGTTCTTTCTGCCTTTCTTTCCTACATGACATGGGCCCCAATGCTTGAACACATAACCAGCACTCAGCAAGTATTGATTTGAATGGAATGATTCACCATATTCTTATAGACACTGTTGAGAATACGACTTATCAATATAAGCGTTTAAAGATCATATCAATGATAAGAGAAAGTAGGATGATTTTAAAAGCAACAATCATCTTGCTTTGAACTGACAAATTCTACTTACTGACAAGTGTGGAAGAAAAATCATTTATCTAAAGTTTGTCTATTGGAAATATTTTATACTAAAGTCCCCTTTCTTGAGGCACTAATCATGACATATAATATGGATCTTTCTCTTCCCGAAATGCTCATATATTGTTGATCTTGTTTATCTAGCATGAATGACCTCATTATGAAAGTTGACGCCCTTGTTTCCTCTTTGCCTACACATGCATCTCGGTATGATGTCACATTTCTGAAAGAGAGTCACAGGTAAGAATGTAATAGTGCTGTGTTTTCTGTCATTGCATCCTGTACTCAATTACGGTTTCCATTTGTAGTCATAATATAGCAGCTTTGAAAGTAGAATTAAAAGTTCTGTGTTAGAGAATAAAGTATTTGACGAGATTAGGGAAAGAAATTCCAGTTAGTTGTATATTCTAGAAAATAAAGGAATGGTATATATAGGATATGAAGTTTCAAGTAAGTTATACCTAATATGATTTGTCTTATTCTTATCTTTCTTTCATGCTCAAGACTATTTGGAATTTTTGCACTAAATGATAATATCTCTATATTCTCAATGTATAAAAGACTCAGTTACTAAAGAATTCTGATTGATAAAATGTAGACATGTCCCAAATATAGCATGTCCCAAAATGTATTCTGTGGAACACTACTCTGAGATGTTGACAGATATATTCTGAGAGAAAAACTGTTCTCTGGTTAACGAAGTTTAGAGAACACTGCGTCCTTGGGCGGGGGAGGGGGCAGGTTGTCAGTGTGTATCAACGTATTAACGGTTTATGAGATGTGGTGTAACTAAAAGAAAACACAAGAAAAGTTTATTTTTGGTTAATTTAGTAGTTGCGTAACTTATTTATCCATGGAACACTTTTTTGGTTAAAAGTTTATTTCACAAAAATTAGGTTTCTGAAGACAGCCATCAGAGAAATAGTTTTAGAATTATAAACTAGTTTATAATTTCACTGTATACAAGTCCTCTAAGATATTTGAAATAAATTTCATTAAGCTCTGTCTACAAACATGCAATTATCTGTGTCCCCAGAAAGGAACCTTTGTTTTGAATTAAGCACCACTTAAAATTGGGGGAAAAATAAGTTAGACGTTATGTAACCAAACGACAGACGTATTTTATCTTATAATATTTTTGTAATCACTTCTCCTATAAACTAAATTGAGACAAATTACTTTAACACAAACTTAAAACGGCTGCACCTCCTTGTCAGTTTTCTGGTTTTGTGGTGGATGCAATCTTACGTTGCTCACATTTACTGTTAGAAGATGCGATGTGCTCCAGCTGTGAAAGCTTTCTGCTGAGATCTGTTCACACGTGTGTAGTGTTATCATTCTCAGGGAAAATTACTTTTTAAAGAAATTATCTAGCACTGTTGAGAAGGAAGTCTTCATTTTCTTTTTTTTCAGATAACTGAGATTCAATACTTTTAATTAAGTATTTTAAACACGTTTAATAGAATTCTTTTTGGAAACGTTTTTGATCTCTTAAATACCATGTGCTGAAGTAATTTAACACAGAATATTCAAAACTATCATTGTAAACATTAGTCACTTTACCATTCCATTAAATTATACTTAGGAATTTTGATGTGTTTGGAATGATTTACTCCCACATGAAACGTCTAAAACGTTTGATCTTTTATAGTTTGTGGTGGTGTAGTCTCTGCTTTCTTTCTCTAGCTTTCACATCAGTCAATGTGTCCTGCTGCTTTGAAGCCTCCTGCCTTATTTTCCACAGAGGGAAGGATATGATGTAACTTTGTGACAGTGGTTTACAAGTCTCCAGTGTTTTCTGTTTATTTCTGGGGCATTATTGTAAATGGATATGTAGTATGTATGTATTGGTTTATATCTATGTTTATGCAATGATACATAACTCGTCTAATGCCTGCTTCTTTTTAACACGCAAAGTCAGTAATCCACAATTTTCTGAGTTCATGTATATAATTTAAGCATTTAACTTTTGTTTTCTGTGTGTTTACACATGTTGGTATGATATATTTATCTAGATCAACTTTGGTCGCGTGGCACAGCATGAGCTTTTTTGTCAAAAAACCCTAATATTTGAATCCTAATCTACCACTTATCTAGCTCCCTCTCTTAGCCTCAGTTTTTTAGTCTGTAAAATATAGATGATGATCCCTACCCTTCAGGGTTTTTGTGAGTTGAAGGTCTCCTGCCTTGAATATAGTAGATATTTAATGCATTGTAGCTAGTTGTTTTGCATATTTGTTACACAAATAGTGAGGTTTCTCTCACAACGTGAAAATAAGAGAAATAAGATTGAACCTGAAAATTTCAGGTTTAACTATAAAATTAACTCACATTAATCAGGGAAGAAATGTGAATACCTACCTTAAATGTAGGATAAAAGCCAGCAAGACTTACTCATAACCTGATTGAAGATATTAATTTATTGAAGAAACAATGACTTTGGATTTTATTTCTCTTGGAAGCCTAGGAAAAGTAGAACAAAACACATTAGCATTGCTAGACTATATAGTCAGTGTCAATCAGAGCCGTAGAAACATTGTTATGTGTGTGCATGTGTATATGGAGAGTGTATAGATAAGACTTTATTTATTTAAAATATTTATTTAAAATAAATAAATAAAAGAGTGTTATAAGATTTGACCTAATGCAGTTGTGGGAGCTGGTTAAGCAGTCTCTGCAAGGCTGTTGACTTCTATACTGGAGCTTCAAGTACACAGGGCAGGCAGTGAGGAAGGAAAGGTGGTTGTAAAGGTGGGGGATCAAGAGCAAGCTGGAACCCCACAAGGATGGACTGAAACCTGTGTCAGTTCTTGTTGCCTCTGACCTTGATATATAGTGGGCATCCTGCCGACACTGGGAGCCCTTTGTCACAAAGCTAAACACACACGCATGACCCAGGAGTCAGAGACGTAGAGGGAGGGTCCTGGGGAAGGTGTCTCATGCCAACGAGGTGAATCAGCAGATAAGTGACAAAGTGGGTGAGCTACGAAAATGACTGCTGCCCCTCTCCTGCCCTCCCCACCTCCTGAGAATCTCTCTTGTGGCCCACCCAAACCAGAAATGTGAGGGAAAGGGAATTCTGCAAAATGTAGTTCAGCCTAGTGAAGTTGATGCATTATAAAGCTACTGCATGGACCAAGAGTCCAAGGATTTGCTCTGTCAGGCCCTAGTGGTAAGATGGAAAGAATAAAGGCAGTTTAACCATAATCATATGTTTGATTCCTCAGTGATTTATAAGCCCATATTCTTTGTTAGAAAGCCTCATTACTTGTAAAAGTAACTATACTACATTTTTTTATTACTCTTATTACAGATTCTCCGAGCTCACGCAGTGTCTTAAAATTATCACCTTTAGTAATTGTCTCTAGAAATACCATTCTTCATCTATCAAAGAGTTTGCTTCTGATTTTTTCCTATCAAGGATAATTATTATAATATTTTATAATATAGTTCAATTTTATATATAAATTTATGCATGTCACATACTGTTAATTTTTTAAAATTTAGGATAATACAGTATGCTACAGAGATGAGCAAAAACTTCAAGTCACTTTTTGTTTTAATTTATACATTTCCAATATTTTTATAGTTATGTAGGTATATTATTTCATGAGAAAATATATATATTTCTATAATCACGTTGAAAAATTCATTCAATTACAGCTTTTTAGTTATATACACTATACATATGTGTATTTTTTTATGCAGCATTATATCTTTGGCAGTCTGCTTTTGTATGGAGCCAATATGTTAAAATTTATTATAAATATATTATTGCTATATTAATATATTTGTTAATTCCTCCTTCTAAAATTTAAATTTTTATGAGAATATTTAAATTTAACAAGGTAAGTTATAGATTGTTTGCAAAAGGAGAAAGAAAAAGGTAGGGGTAAATTGAAATCTGGAAGAAAGTGAAAAATGAAAAGCACAGTTACATTTTTCTCAGCCCTGAAGGATCTCTGTTGAATTTCTATATTACCCTGTGGCCTTCTCTCCAGAGTATGTGGATTTGATATTCTTCCGCCATCTTTGCCAAAAGCAAAAATAGCAACCCTGACCTGTCACCCCGTCATGCCAGGAACTTGCAGTGACAGATGCAAGTGTGTGATGCTAAAGGTCTCGAAGAAGGCCTTGTAGACCACTGGAGTAGTGGCTGGCCTGCCTGCCTCCCTTGAGCATGCCAGAAATTCCAGTTTACATCATTCGCAGAGTTCACGAATGAAAACAAATGAGTTGTTCAGGTGAAATGTAACTAACCTTAGTAAAGGACAGACAGGAATTTCTCTTAGGAATCTTCATAAAGATAATTCTGTATAATGAGCAGTGTCTTTAACATCCTTAAAATAGATGATTTGACCTGTTTTTATACATAAACTGATAGTATCATAACAAAGTTAATTCAGTAAAACAATTCTACACAGAATGAATACAATATTGGCTGAGTACCCGGCTTTCTACTGCTTTGACCTGTTTGAAATGTGTTTAGTGCAGTCGTGTGCCACATAATGACATTTTGGTCAATGGACCACATGTATGACAGCAGTACCATATAGCCTAGAAGTGTAGTAGGCTATACCATCTAGGTTTGTGTAAGTACACTCAGTGATGTTCTCACAATGACAAAATCAGCCAATGACGCGTTTCTCAGAACATAGCCCCTTTGTCAAGCAGCATATGACTGTGTATCTAAGAGTTGATGAACTTCATATACCTCAAGCTGTTCTTCACTGTGTTTTCTGTGATTTAAGCTTTTAATAATTGTTGACTGTCAGTGTGCTTGACATTATTTCTCCTGACTAATGGCATGAAGTGTAGCAATAGTTTCTTGGCAATTGAGTGGAAATCTGCTGCCTTAAAAAGGTGATGTATATAGAGTTAGCATAGAGTTGTGAATGTTGCCTGAGAAAAGGGATGCTCTGTTTCCATTCTTAGATAAGTCAGTGTGACACCTCGTAATAGGCTCAGGATTCTGCTCAGAAAATTGTCCTGCATCTACACCAACACACATCTAAGTAGATGATGAGGACTCTGGAATTCTGATTCATACAACCTCACAGAAGTGGCAATAGTCTGGGGGGAAAACCTTCAAGTAGCAGTACATAGATGCCTACTTTCACCATAATAACATCTCAGAAAGCATATAGAAAATGACCAGTTTTGAGTAGTGCTACAAGTATGGTAGTAATCTGTAAAATTTTCACCAAGATAACTAAAGGAATGAATGATTGTAGATAGTCACTTTAACTTAAAACATCTGATTTGTATCCCTTATTTCTAGCAATAGTTATCCAGCAGGCTCTGTTGTCTGATTCTGCCACTTGTATTTTAACATAAGTAAATCATATCAACTGCATATAAAATAAAATGTCTTTCATTTCTCTACATCAGGGGACCCATATTTGAAGTGACTTTTACATTAGCTTTTATTTAATTGCTAAGAAATTAATCCTTTCACTGCAAAGTCTTCTAGATATTTATAGTGTGTGTACGAAAGAAGACTAATATCCCTGTAATTTTACAGGTGTACCTCTTTATTTGGTAATCTTTTTCTCTTTGTAATATGCGAAATATTTAATTCATACATCTCAAACTGACTTCCTGTATTATTACCGTGTTAAAGCAGTTATTCAACTGGAATATTCTGTACTTTAAATGTATACTTTTAACTTCTAATTGTATTCAAGATAGAATTGATTATTTCCCACTGGCCTTTTTCCTTTCAACATTTTCCTTTAAAGATTAGTCCTTCTTCTAACTTAGAACTTAGATCAATGAAAGACAAAGTGAAAAGGACAGAGAGGAGGAGATGAGGAGAGGATGACTGGAGTTAAAGTGATAAATTGGGGTGTTTTTTTCCCTGAACATTCCTATTATAGGATGTTGGGTTTTTTTAATATTAAACTTAATAAAAGTACTGAATAGTTAATTTTATCATTCTAATATCTTAGAAAATATATTCAACTAACACAACACCCTGGTTTTATTTTTTATATTGTATGATCCATGAGAATTTGGGGGGCTTAAAATTATCAGAATTTTCAATAGTGTTATTCTTTGAAGAGTTTTCTAAAATCTCTTGTTCATAAAAATCTTACTTTCGTTTTCTCCAGTTCTTTCTAGTTTTCTAATTTATTGAACATGAACATTAGACTTTCAAATTTGCATTTTCTTCTTTGAAATAACCAGAATTTTTTAATCCAATGAGATAGAAAGCAATTTATAAGAATGTATGTAGCTAGGATTAAGATTAACTAGGCAATTGAAGAAATTTAACTGATCATCTTTCATCTTATTTTCTATTTTATTAGCATTATAAAGATAAATCCTCAAGAGAATGATATGTTCTTTGATGTCATTGCTATTGTTGATCCATTGACAAGAGAAGCACAGAAAATGTCACAGTTACTGATCGTAAGATAATGTATTTTATATATATTTACATCTTATTATATACTACTTTTATTTCAAAATTTATAATTAATCTTTCAAGGCTGTTTTCAAGTATAATCAAATATCTGTGCTCAAGATTCTTTATTCTATGCAACATTTTAAATAGTTGTCATATTTCAATATAGAAAATGAATGATAGAGCTGTGCACAGGGCCTTATGGCAGTACCAAGTTTAGGTGTTGCTATGAATTTAATTGTTACCTCCCTCTCCCCTAAAATTGATATGTTAGACTACCCCTGACCCCCAGTGTGACTGTATTTGGAAATAGGGCCTTTAGGCCATAATTAAGGTTAAGTGAGTTCATCGAGGTGGGCCCTAATCCAATAGGATTGATAGCCTTATAGGAAGAGGAGGAGAGAGAGGGACCTCTTTCTGTCTTCACAAGCACAAAGAAGAGTTCATGTGAGCACACCGCAACATGGCTACCACCCACAAGCCAGGAAAAGGGCCCTCACCAGAAACCAAATCCACCAGCACCTTGATCTAAAATAAATAAATTTCTGTTGTTTAAGCCACCCAGTCTGTGTATTTTAATATGGCAGCCTGAGCAGACCAATACAGGTGTCTTCCTGTCTTCATTTTTCCCCAGATATGGAGAATGGCTCCTGGAGAAACTGATGCCTAAGCTTAATTAGTTGAAGCTTAAAGTGTAATAAGTAACATTAGCCAAACAGTTGAAGCTAAGGGAAGTGGAAACCTGAAGGTTGTATTCAATAGGTTTGGCCAGAGCCAACAGTACCTTCAAGACTCAAGTTTATTTCTCTGATCTCACAGTCCAAGTGCAACCGCCTGGAGTTGCTAAGGCAACTGTTAATAATAGCATACTTTATTTCTGAGCAACTGAGCACTTCATGTAACATTATTTTTTACTATAGAGAAAATTTATGCTGTAAAGCATAAATTAATTTATTGGAAAAAATGGAAAGTATCTCATTTAACACTTGGGAGAAACAGTGGCTCAGGGACCTCCGTTGTAGCAAATATGAGGAATGACAGAATGGGAATTAAAACTCAAGACTCTTAAATCCCCAGTCTGTATGTTGTAATTCTTCATCAAGCCTGCATCCTTTCTGTTCCATAGATGTTTTTTTTCCCCTTTACATGTATTCTTTTTTGTCTAATATCTTTCAAATCTTCACTAACTTGTTGCCTATGTAGAAGTGGAGGCTATAAAAATTAATAATTAATTATATTAATAAATTAATAGGTCTCCTACCTCTTATGCTTAACTGAAATAGATCAGAGATAATTTATTAACCATAATTGGTATAAAGTTGAAAAAGAAAAGAAAACAGAGTATTTTATCTGTATGTAGGCAAGAACTTCCTACATCTCTTACAATAAGTGAATTTCCAAAAGGATCAGGTCATCCTCACCATTGTTGTGAGGTCACACTTTGTATTTGCAGGTCAAGACTCTAATAATGATTTGATTGTTCTTCAGTACTAAGGAAATTTAGATACCATGAAAGAAAGTCACATCAGGCAAAAGGTAGGCAGTATAGCCCTTGGTCAATGAAATAACTATTTGGATACAAAGCTTACCTGTGCCATGACTAACTGTGTGATCTTGGGCAGATCACCACATCTCTCTGTGCCTCAAATGTAAAAGTAGCTGCCTCAGAAGGATGTTTTGAGGATCAAAAGAGATAATGAATATAAAATGTGAGTGTGGCGCCCAGTACATAGTAAATGCTTGCTGAATGTTAGCTATTAATATGACTTAATATCAAATATGGGAAATTTTTTTTCTGATAGGTACTTGGCAAGATTATCAACATGAAGGTGAAGTTGTTCATGAACTGCAGGGGTAAGCTTTCAGAAGCCCCCTTAAAGAGGTGAGTCTAAGTGAACGTAATTTCATCTTGAAAGATTTGCAAATGCTGCGATGAAAAGAGGACCGTAATTACTGGACCTGTTTTTATTTTTTCTTTGCAACATGCTTAACTGATACTGCACGAGATGAAAACCATTCAACTGTTTTTAAACTATGAGTTCAACAGAGTCTTATTTACTCAATGGCATGTATCAAGCAAAATAGTTGACACATTAATTCCCAGCCCTTTACTGTTAGAATGCCGTCTCTTGCTCAGAGGATAGAGGTTATGGGTGGGAGTTGCTGCCATTCCTCCGCTGTCTGCTGTGCCTCCCCAGCCTTCCCTTGCGGTAGCGGGAGAATGTGCTCTCCCTCCTCTTGGTTAAGGCAGATACTCCCTCTCTGTTTTGATCCCATGCTTTTCTGTTTGTTCTGGATCCTTGCTTTGTCACAGAGTCCCTTTGTTCCTGTCTTTAGCCACCTTACTAGCTTGTTTCTTTCAGTCCTAAGAGTTATTCCATTTAAAAAAAGAAAGTGTTCCCTTAACTTCTCCTCCTCTAGAGCCCTGATGCTCCTCTCCACTCTTTCTCTCATTTCAGCATCTTCGAAGACTCATCATACCCCGCTTCCTCTCTCATTCACTGTACCTCCCACTGCAGTTTGGCCTTAACTTCCTCTTTACAGCTGAATCATTTTTACTAAATCACGAAGAAATTGCTGTTTGCAGCATCCTAAGGCTGCTTCTTACCTGACGACGTTTCCACTGCATTTGACAAACCAAGCGCGTGTTTTGCACCTTTGCTTCATGAGTGTTCTCTCCAGTCCCCTTGTACCCACTTACTTTTTACTCTGCCCGCCTGCTATAAGCAGCTTCAGGCATGGCTGCATTGATCATCGCCTCCTGGGATGCACACTCTGTGTAGATTATTCCTGAGCCTCAGTTGCACCTGGTGATTTGCTTCTAGTGAACAGAAAATGGCAAAAGTGCTGTAATGTCTCTTCTGCAGTTAGGTTGTAAAAGACTGTGACTTTTGTCTTGCTGGCATTTTCTCTCTTGCTCTTGAGTGCTTGTCTGACGAAGCTTGCTGGAGGTGCCCTTGTAGCAAGGAGCTGTGGGCCGTCTCCAGCCAACTGCTAGTGAGGACCTGCAGGCTCTATTCCAGTGGCCCTTGAGGAACTGCCTCACCTGGAAGTAGATCCTTGCCCGCTCCGGCCTTGAGCTAACTACAGCACAGCTGACACCTCGACTGCAGTCTCAAAATAGTGACAGTCACTGTGCTTAATAACAGAACTAATTCTTATTGTGCATGATATTGGGAGATAAGGCTAAGATACATTAAGACTTCAGGTACTTGTGAAAGTTCTGTTAATAAGCAGCTGCTTTCAACTCAATCCTCTTTGGTTTTAATTGAATTTTTAAAATTGGTACCAGATTCTAGCTTGAATCTTACTTGCTTTCTGGTTATCGTTTCTCTTCATATTATTAGTGGTGCTAAGAGCCAGTACAATGGCTGAAAAATAGACCATGGTCAGGTTTAAAGGAGGATCAGTTAAAAGATGAACAGATCGGGGCTGGCCCGGTGGCGCAGCGGTTAAGTTCGCACGTTCCGCTTCTCGGTGGCCCGGGGTTCGGAGGTTCGGATCCCGGGTGTGGACATGGCACCACTTGGCACACCATGCTGTGGTAGGCATCCCACGTATAAAGTAGAGGAAGATGGGCACGATGTTAGCTCAGGGCCAGGCTTCCTCAGCAAGAAGAGGAGAACTGGCAGTAGTTAGCTCAGGGCTAGTCTTCCTCAAAAACAAACAAACAAAAAACAACAAAAAAAAGATGAACAGATCATGAAATACTAGAAGCTGCATAAACCAGTATATCTTAAAGGGATTGTAATTGTGTTCATTAAGAAATAATTAACAAGGGTGTAATAATGTACACAGTCTTATAATAGATAATAATATAAACAAGATAATTTTCCACTGTTTATAAGCATTAGCTCTTCTACAGAACAGTGTGTTTTTAATCTTTTTAATAAAGACTTTCTGGTCACGTTTTTAAGCCATTTTCAGTTTTAAAATATTTTAGACAGAGGAAATCTCAATTTTGGTCACAGTATGTGTTTTTGTTTATATTCTGTCAACAGCTTTTACCGTTTTGTTCTGGAACCAGAATTGATGTTAATGGCTAATGACAATATTGGACCAGTGGCAAAATTCTTGGATATCCCGGAATCACCCCTTCTAACGCTCAACATGATTACTCCTGAAGGCTGGTTGGTAGAAACAGTGCACAGCAACTGTGACCTTGATAATATTCACTTAAAGGATGTAAGTTATCACATAAAGTTATATAAAGGAAGACAAATAGGATCAATTCTTATCAGCTACGATAACTGTAGCAAATGAGTGATTGTACTATGGCTGCTCACCAGAATTTTCTTCTTTACGATTCTAGGTCCTGATCTAGTCTTTCCTTTGATTTTTGAGTTTCCCTAACTTCCAAATTCAGCTTCTGTAGTTTTCCGAGTTCGTACCTGCACCTGCCTTTTTTGTTGCTTCAGACCCCTGGTTCATACATGCTACTCTAGGATGAACAATGTAAAAAATATGGAGATGGGTGCGTGGTGAGTTAGGGCAACACCGTTAAGTACCTGTTTTGCCCTTCAGGTTTTGTTTTTAACTCAGAAAGGAGCAGTTCCGTCTGAAACTCTTTTTTGCCCCATAGCTCATAGCCGGAGAACGCAGTCCTAACAAGATTAGGGTAAGAAAGCAGGAAAAAGAGCTGACTCGTGTACTGTAGGTTGGGTGCACTGCTTCCCATCGCCTCCAGCATGACCCTTGTCCAGGCAATGACCAGACTTCTCATCCCCACCTTTTGTCACTCCGGCCTCAGCACAAAAAAGAGGAGGAGACTATTTTAAAATACACTGAGTCTTTCAAAACATTCCATTCAAAAATTGGGAAGAGATTCAGAAACCACAAAAAGCATAAGAATTTTAGGGGAGTTTACCTAGAGAATGGGTATCCAGAAACTGGAGAGAAAATACGTCCTTCTCGCTGTCCTCCCTCTTGCCTGGTTGTGCATGGCCTCTCACCTATTTCCAACTGTGTGTGACAAGCTCCTTCAGAATGTTGCCATTGCCTTGACCTAGGCATAAGCATTGTACCTCTAATAATTTGGTTAAGATTGTTCATCGTATTTTTTTCTCATGCCTCTCACGTGTTACTTTTTGTCTAAAGATTTTCCTTCTAGGCAGGTTTCTTCTGAGCCACTCATGAATAGAGTCTGTGGGATCCTAATTCACTTCCCTGAAACATACTCACCGATACCCCCAACTTTACCCATCTGAGGAAAAACCTAAAACTCAGTTGTAGCAGTCTTCTGAAATCAGTCCTTTAAATCTAAGGAAAGAATAGAAAGACAGCAAAATAATAAAATCTGTGAGGGCAAATTCAGAAATGAATTTGGCAAGAAGTAAAAAAAAAAAAAATCCTCTTTTCCTCATGATGGGTTGGATCTTTTAAATGAGTCTATTGGATTCTTCATTGAGTTCAGCAATATCTATCAATAGGGTAGCTTTAAAGATTCTAACCAAAAGGGTAAAAAGTTTGTGGTAGGAGAATTAGTGCAGCTTAGAAAAGATTTTGAATTGAATCTGCTGGTGAAAAATTTCAGCAACTATTAAACAATTAATGGAGATTAAACATTTTTTGTTGTGAGTGGCAAATATAGCAATGTCTTTTTAGAAGCTGTTTAAATGGACAGTAGCTGTATTTATTTTAGAAGACTGAAATAAAAAGAAATAATTTCTTCTGTCTTCATAGATTATATGAATAACCGGAAGGAAATATAAATTCTAGCAGCTGTGAAGGTTACCCACCTCTAAGGCTCTTCTCTTCCACTTGTGCTGTACATACTTAGAATTTTACCTACACCTATCCTAAAAGAATATGAAATAACAAAGTAAAGACACTTGCTAGAATAGAAAGGAGGAGTTGTAGGTAAATGAAAAAAGCACACCCTGGCAAAAATCAGACTAATATTGAGAGATTTGTCACTACACATTAGCTTGTGAAAGTATTCCTTGCTGCATCTAACTCCTGAACATTACATAAACACCTGAAAAAAGCTGGATGTAGAAAAATTCTCTGTTACCAGGAGTTTGTTCTTTGCACAACCACTATTAATGCCATAATTAAAGGTGCCAAAGGTGGGTTACAGGAAAGCTTAAAGTGAGAGACACTTTTACCTGAGTTCAGGGGTGGTTCTCAGCTTGTGGGAACTGCATCCAAAGACTCTGCAGTTCTGTTTGATCACAGCTTGTATCTGAGAGATACCACAATGCCTGAAACAGTAGTGGTCGTCTGCCCAGTAAACAGGAAATGAGTAAATAAAAGATAGCTAAAGGAAAATAGGATGTGGCTATGTTAAAAGGGATTCACAGAAAAAATTTATTTGCCACTCTGAAATATAAATAATTTAGACATCAGTTTTATTGATGTGATGTATTACCAATTGATGTATTACCAATGTAATTGTCGAAGAATTCCTCTTTGACTGCCATAGATAATCTTAATAAATCCAAATCTTCATCTTTATAATTAAACTTACACTTTTTTTAAAGGAAGAAGCTAACTTCTTAACTATTCAGCCACAGAACAATACAATAAACACTTCTATTTAGTAATATTTATGGGCACCCGAAGTTATATTTGAAAGGTATTAAATTCATGTCTCATATGAACAGTTAATATTTAGAAGAGATAAAATATAAAGGAGATGTGAACATCAAAAAGGATCACTGGCTTTTATATTCTTGCTGAAAAGAAACCTTAATAATAGGAATTAATTTAACTTAAATCACTTTTATGAAATTATTATAAAACTTAAAGTATTTACTAGAAAGAACTCTTTAAAAAACAGCTTGGCTGTTTTTGGTGGTGTGGTTTGAATAAGTCAACAGAATTGATGTCTGTTATACAAATATATAGGGACAAGAAAAATTTTCACATTAATATATTATAAAATGAAGATATTATTAGGCACAAACTGAATGTATCTGGACTCTGCCCTAATTCATAATTCTAATCTAATTCATAATAAAAAATAGTTAAGCTTTACTTCATAATCACTTTGGGGTACAGTTTGCTTGTCTGTAAAATGAAGGGATTGAACTATATTATGATTTCTTTCTAACTTTTAGTGTTCTCCTATTCTGAGACTGTCCCCTCTAAATCTTTCCATCAAAGTGCTGTAGGACTGTGGACACAGGCTAAGGAAGTATGTGAAGTTCATCACTGGAATTGTAATAATTCAACAACCAATTCAGAACCAAACTAAAGTGGTTGAAAAGAATACTGTTTCCAAAGAAGTTACTTATTTCTTGTTCTTAAAAACAGTAAAATTATGAGAACTAGACTCAAGAAAAAATGCTGAACATAAGTACTGTAATTATTTCTGTGGCAATCACAGTTAAAAAACTATACAATAGGTGCCACCCATGGCCGAGTGCTTAAGTCCACACTCTCTGCCTCAGCAGCCCAAGGTTTTGCCAGTTCGGATCCTGGGCGTGGACATGGCACCACTCATCAAGCCATGTTGGGGTGGCGTCCCACATAGCACAACCGGAAAGACCTACAACTAGAAGATGCAACTATGCACTGGGGGGCTTTGGGGAAAAAGAAGAGAACAAAAAAAAAAGAAGATTGGCAACAGATGTTAGCTCAGGTGCCAATCTCTAAAAAAAACAAACCCATACACTATAGATTTTCAAATCCTCCGTATCCTAAATATACTAAACAATAGTGTCAAAAACCTATAGTGAAATAAAGGTAAATATAGATAGCATCATTGTCTTATCTGCTCAACAAAATTGCCAAACTACATAAGAGTCACTTACCATTTGATTTATTTTCATGATTGGTTATATTTTTCATGTGAAGTAGAGAAAAAGGTTTATCCCTAAAATATTTATTGTAACATTTTTAATAGAGGAAAATCTGGAAACAGTTGGAATGTCCAGCCATTTAAAAGGGTGTTTATAGAGATAAGGACATGTCTTAGAAAACTATATTAAATGAAAAGTAGGTTACACTTTCTTAGGAAAAAAAAAATTTATGACAAGAAATAGAAATCAGTGAGTTTGATTTGTTTATGAATGTTTAGTCTGTAGGTGATTTTTATTTTTTCTCTTTTCCACTTTCTCACGTTTGCTAAATTTTCTTTAATGAGCATATGTTAGTTTGACTGCAAAACAATTAAACATTAATTTTTAAAAAATGACAAGAAAGGCAATAGATGACGATAGGTTGGCTGTCTTGCCAGGTCTGAAGTGGGAGTTCTAGGGCAACAGCAAATGAAGCAGATCTTTGAGAAGTTTCCCATCTAAATCTGACTTGAAGAGATCTTTGAATACTATAACTCACAGAGCATCCGTTCATGCTCACATCTTTCCTGCTTGTGAAATTGGTGCATATATCACAAGATGGGAGTAGAGCTGATGTTATGGGAAGGGAAAAAATACTCATCATGAACGTTGGTCTTCAAGAAATTGATTCAACTGTTCCTTCGTGTAAAAGAAAGACTTGAAGTTGCCCCTCAAGATGCTTTGGCTAATATTAAAATAATCACATTTATTTATTACAAAATTTGTATTATGAGACTTACTGATACCAAAAACAATGACATATTTTCTCCATAGATTGAGAGAACTGTTACAGCAGAGTATGAACTAGAATATCTGTTACTTGAAGGACACTGCTTTGATGTAATAACAGATCAACCTCCTCGGGGTCTGCAGTTTACACTCGGCACAAAAAATAAACCTGTTGTGGTTGATACAATAGTGATGGCCAATCTTGTAAGTATTATAAGTACTTAATTGATGATATTTAATTAGATATTTTGGTGAAATCCTCGAAGTTTTCCTAATAATAAGGTGAAATAATTTTTATTCTCCTATTGCTGAACAGCTCCCAGGAAACAAAATTGAATCCTTAAATAAGATAAATAAAACAAAAATGAGGGAAGCATGCTCTCAGAATGTGCTTTTACTGGTTATTGCAAAACCTCCTTCTGTGGAAATCATTTATAGAATTCATTCCACAGTTAGTAAACACTTTCTTGGATGATTCATATATAATCTTTCTTGAACAGTTGGGTATATTTTTAGTCATTTAACTATGATCATATTTTTCTCATCTTAAAAGGGATATTTTCAATTAAAAGCAAACCCAGGTGCTTGGATCCTGAAATTACGTGAAGGAAAATCTGGAGATATTTATCAAATAGTTGGGTGAGTTATATAAACCCCTTTTATAAACCCCTTTTAAATTTTTATATATAAATAAGTTTTTAGTGTGGTATAATCAGGGTCATCAAAACAACTAAAATGTTCACGAATACCATCACTATAAACCAAAACCTACCTTAAAACTGTGACGTTTGTTCCTATCCTTGTTTTATTTCAAAAATATGAAAGATATGCATAAAGTATATATCTTGTTCTTTACTCTATCTCCTTTACTTACTGTTTTCTGTAGACTTTTGCATGTATTAGCATAGTTCATGTATTTATCCTTTAGTGATAATATAATTTAGTGACAATATAATATGTATTAGATCTTTTATAACAAAGCCATTGTCCATGGGTTATGTTCAGTTTTTCATTTTTATAAATAAAAATTGGTTTCTTTCACAGTAACTTCCCTGCTCATCAGTGAGAATAGTATAAACCAGGGATCATCAAACTTTTTCTATAAGGAGCCAGTAGTAAATAGTTAGTTTGAGGGCAGATATAATTTTTGTCAATATTCTTTTTTTGAACAATGATTTTAAAATGTGAAAGCCATTTTTAAGTCAGGGGCCGTATAAAACTAGGCCACCAGCCTGGTTTCACTTGCGAGCCATAGTTTGCCAACCCTTGATAAAGTCTCTTTTGATAAAATCTGTTGCCAATCTTACCCTTTTTGCGTGAGGAAGATTGTCACTGAGCTGACATCTGTGCCAGTCTTCCTCTATTTTGGATGTAGGACACTGCCACAGCATGGCTTGATGAGCGGTGTGTAGGGCCGTGCCTGGGAACCCATGAACCCCAGGGCCACTGGGCCAGCCCCATAAAGTCTTTGTTTGATACCCCTTAATAAATGGGCCAGCCCCATAAAGTCTTTGTTTGATACTCCTTAATAAATATCTATAGTTTTAATTTATTTCAGTAAGTATTTATTGAGCACCTGTCATTATACCAAGCACTGGGCTAAACAAAGGTATGGGGTAGGGATTATTGTACTTTTTTCCCCACTGCCTTTTCCCCTTTTCCTTATATGGTGCTGAAGCACATAGTGTCATTCAACAAATATGCTTAATAATCACTGCAGACAAAGCTGGGAATGCTTAATTCTATGATGAGGAGGAGGATGGGGGAAGTGTGTTGATGTTAGAAATAAGATTGTACCTCAGGACAGTTTTGAAGAATTATAGGAACTTACCGCTAGTCATACCACAGGCAGAACATTCCAGGAGAGGTTAGAGGTGCAAATGTCTCCTCTAAAATTTGTAGGGCCATATGTGTTTCAGAGTTTAGAATTTTTCAGATTTTAGAAAGTTAATATAGTACATACATCATATATTATGACATATCGAGCAGGATCTGAGAAAGCATTTCATTAAACAAACGTCATTTCTATTGCAAAACGTGACTATTCACACTAAAAGAATATATAATGACTATAAAAGAAAATGAAAAGACAAGTTACAGACTGGGAGAAAAATCTTTGTAAAATGTGTAGAGCATATAAAGAACTATCAAAACTCAACAATAAGAAAACAGCCTGATAAAAAATTTGCAAAAGACTTGAACAGACACTTCACCTAAGAAGAAAAAATGGATGGCAAATAAGTACATAAAAAAGATGATCAACTTTGTTAGTTATTAGGAAAATGCACATTTCGATCACATTGAGATTCTGCCACACATCTCTTAGAATATCTAACATTAAAAAGACTGACACCACCAAGTGTTGGTGAGGATGTGACGTGAGAGGAACTATCATGCACTACCGGTGGGAACATAGAATAGCACAACCACTTTGGAATAGTTTGACGGGTCCCTAGTATTTAAATACACACTTACCTTATGATCCAGGCATTCCATTCCTAGGTATTCACCCAAGATAAAATATATGTTCATACAAAGACTTGTACATTAATGTTCACAGCAGCTTTATTTGTAATTGCCGGGCCCTGGAAACAACCCAAATGTTAACAAGTGAGGGAATGATCAAAATGTGGTGTATCCGTACCATGGAATCCTACCCAGCACTATGAAAGGATGAACTGTGGATGCACACAGTGACGATGAATGAATCTCAGACAGATGAATCTCAGGATAATTATGCTTAGTAAAAGAAGTGAGGCAAAAAAAAAGAGAGAAAGTACATACTGTGTGATTCCTTTTGTTAGTTGTAAAACACTAGGTAATACAAACTATAGTGACAGAAATCAGATCACTGATTGCTTGGGCATGGGAGGTGGGTGGTCAGGTGAAAGCAGAGGAAAATATGGGAGATAAACAGGTGAGCAAAACAGTTCCTGCCCTTCCACAACTCATTCCAGTAGGAGAGGCAGTTAAGAAAATGAGTGACTATTAATACATTATAAGTACTTATAAAAGAGTGTTATGGTTGTACAGAAAATAAGCCAAATACACTAACCTTTTATTAACTCTTCTTATGAAAACCATCGTTTCAAGAACAATTCATGCTGCTTTGCCTCAGCTTCTTTGATCTTGTGCAAACTGTGTTGCCTGGAGCTGAGTGTTCCTAAATGTGCCACTGCTGTTTCTCCAGTGTTTTTTGCAAAGGGAAAGCCCTTTGGAATTAAATAAACCATGATTTGAGTCCCTCTCTGCCACCAGCTATCTCATCGACCTTGCATACATTTCTTTACCGCCTGGAGTCTTTGTTTCCTCATAACAAGAGGGGATAATCCTATCTACTTTGTGGGATCTTGGTGAGGACTAAATGAGGTAATCATCATAGGGGCCATGTCTCACATATTGAGTAAATGTCCCTTTCTCCCCACTTACTCCTTCCTTCTTTGCAAATTACAATTCTGTATATTATATGTGTGCAATATATGTCTTATATATAATATGTATAATATATATTATGTAAAACTATACATTAATATATCAGGTTTTATTTTATCTTCTTTACCATTATTTGCTATCATACATAGTCTATAAATGAATGGTTTAGGGAGAAAGTAGCCCCTGATGATCATTATATTTTAAGTACCACTAACATTAGTAATGGAAAGCTAATTTTTCTTATTCACAATAAGACAACTTTTGGTAATAGCAGTAATTTCAAATTTGTTTGTATTACTTATAAATAATAAAATCATAAACTTCTGTCAATTATAATTAACTCCAAATGTAATTAATATGTCACTAGATATCCAGAATGGAGAAAACATAAATAATGCTACTCTGTAATAAAATTTGTTTGAAATTGAAGTATCAGTAATGAAAAATAGGTCAATATAAAATATGACAAAAATGGAAATTCTGTTTATCCCAATTTATGATTTAATTCTAATTGACATTAAATTTATATTTAGGAAAGATAGTCTTAAAGTATGCTGAAAAGCTAAGCTAAAATAATACTGACATGAGGTTCTAAGTCCAGATTTGAAAACCGTGACTAAATAATTTGATATTTTAAAATTTGCCTTTTTTTTATTAAGCACAATCCTCACATGTGTACTTTTTATGTCTCTCCATGTTTTTGTAATCTTTAACTGGGATCATCTGCCCATACTCAATGTTGACTGGTATTTACCTTGAATACAAAAATAGTCAATAAAATTAATCTCCTATAAAAGAAAATCTTTGTAGTTCTACTAAAATTAGGCAAATGCTTCTTCTCAGATTTTCCTAGTTAAATTGTGGAGAATATTGGATACTTTTGTATCTACTTATATACACATACACACATATACACCTTCAGTATGCTAAATTATATGCTAGGCTTTTCACTTGAAATCTTGAGAAAAACATTGACAAATTGCTATTGTATATAATTTTAGTTTGGTACCTTTGAGACTAAACTGCTTCTCTTATGTTTTAGAAAGGAGGCAGGAGAGATTTCAAACAAGGCTTTCCATACTTTCTCCCCACTTCCTTGAGCTGGCCCCTTTGTAAGCCAGCCTTGCAGTCTCTGGCCCTGGCAGTGGTTAAAGCTCACTCTTGGTGGAGCATTGCTATGGACTCCTAGAAGGCTACAATTGTAGCACCTCTCTCTCTTTTGATTCCCTGGTCCCTGTTGGTGCATCTCTACTCCAGTCAGCTTGCCTGACAACTTCCTCATTCTCTGAGACTCCTGTGTTATATCTGCAGCCTGTTTTTGTTGAGGTTTCCTCATATCTCCAGGTTGCCATATTGGCAGCAGGTGTGTCTGCTACATGGTAATAACAAAACCAAATCTCTCTCCTGCTGGTCCACATCTGATCCGTGGGAAATACTTAGGCATCACTTGCCTGGAAAACTCTAGGAGTTCAGGCCAGTCTCAATGGCACTAGTACTCTCCTGGACTAAAGCAATAATAAGCCACTCCTCAAATATCGTATCCCAGTCCGTGGTCCACTTTAACTTTCCCAAATATGAGCCAGACATGATCCTCCATGTCTCTCAACTTCAGAAGATACAGTGCAAAGTGCTTTCCCTTTAAAGCATCTACATTACTGAGTTTAGGATTAGAAGGTAATACTCTTCTCCCCTCTCCCCAGATGGTGTAGTGGTGGAGACTCATAGCCTTGCAATATCTCTCTCCAGTGACATTCTTCAGCTTCATCTCACACAGTCTCTTCCCTGAAAGCTATCTTAGTGATGCCTCAGTTAAGTGTTCTAGCATCCTTTTACTGCGCCTCCCAAAGAATCTTCTCTTTAGTTCTTTACCATCACATTACCATTAGTTGAATGTAAGTTTGACCAAATTCACTTTTGATCATAGTTTTTGTATGTGTGTTTTTATCTTTCACATTCATTTTTGTTTGAGTGGCTGGCTTCTCATATCAAAGGAGAATTTAACACAGGGAGATGGATTCTTGACTGTGGTGGTGAGGATTGGAGGAACAAGCTCTCTAGGAGGGCTAGTCCCCAGGAATGGCTCACAGAACAAAGCCAAGGAACTGACCAACCAGAAAGAGCCAGTACCTTTCCCATTATCAGAAAAAAGCCTCTGTGTCCCCATGACTTTGCTTGCCAAAAGAAACTATCCAAGCATCACTGTTACCCCTACCTCATTTCTAAATTCCAAATCACTTGCAAATTTATCTCTCTCTTTAGCAGAATCTGATTATCAACCAGAACCATAGCTGCAAAAGAATCTAGGAACAAAAAAAAGAGTTTTTAGCTCTTTAACTTCTGCAGTATATGCTAAGAGGTGGAATGGATGTTGCCTGCCATATTGTAATACGCACCAAATTTCTACAAATACTTTTTTTCAGAAACGTTAGTGGTGTACTCTTGTTCCTAAAGGCCTGAAAAATTTTTTGCTTACTTTTCATAAGTATTGATAATAGCAGTAGCATTATAATTTTCCTCAGAATTCTTGCAACAAGCCTTCATCATTGTCTCCTGCCATCAAGTGTCTTGGATAAGAAATGAGAGACAGTGTGATTTACTTTTCCTCTATAAAAATTTAAATGATATTTAGAATTCTAGGAAATATGTCTTTTTTAAAAAAACTGCTTCCTAACGTAGTGAATCTTTTCATTTTAAAGTAAATGGCTTTTACTGAGATATCTTCTCAAATCTCATTGGGAATATAAATTATTTGAATGCTCCTCTTTTTCCCTGTATTAATTCCTTACCAGTGTAGTCCATGTCTTCTGACTGCTTAGCTTGTTTTCCTCCTTTAAGCTGCCAACTGTCCTAGCATATCCAGTGATTTTTAAGTTGCTGTTACTTATAAAGGCCTACTGGTGCAGTGGTGAAGAGCCAGACTAAATGGGCTCAGTTTGGATCTAGGATAATAATTGTACCCTCCTCAAGGACGGTTATATGGATTAAATGAGCTAACATCTATACTGTGCTTGACATAGTGCCTGAAAGAGAATGAAAGTCTTCATCACTACTCCCTCTAACACCTGCTGGGATCAGAGAGGGGGCTGCTTTAGGTGTTGTATGAGTCTAGCTGCAGTGTGGCTCTACCCGCTCTGCCTTGGTCTCAGTGGACAATGGATTTGATGGCTGAAGTTGCTGATGCCCTTGAGCAGTGTTTGGGACTGGAAGCCCTTGAAAGTTAAGAAATTTGACATTTCTGCTACAGAAGTTGAAACCTTTCTATTTTCTAATGATAATTATTGGGGGTCTATGCCTTCTTCTTTGGTTTAGCCACCTCAGCTGGGGAATTGGAAGTAAGAGGGAGTCAGGGCATGTGTTAGGCAGTGCTAGCATCCCCAGATTTTCATTTTAGAAAAATATTCAGGTGTTATAAATCTGACTGGACTCAAAGCATCTACTCATTTGACGTCTGCTTTCCCTCTTTGACAAAATTCAATCTTATTGTAAATGTCTTTTGCAGTGGCATTTCTTAGTACCTAGTGAGAGTAGTATAAAAAATAATTATTGATCAAAGCTGTCATATTTGACTTACGGAACTTTGAAAATTAGACGATAAAATACCTTATGTATAGTATAAAATAGAAACATTCAGGTGATCCACATGGACATCATAGATAAATTTTCAGTCTTAAGAGTTTAACAATACACTTTAAATTTTGGTATTTGAAATTGGATATTGAAAATTTGTTGGACAGTGTAGAATTCCTGTGCTTATGATATATAGACAACTTATCTTGAAGTCTAGAAAATGTTCCGTATTTTAATTATTATTGCAATATATCAAAGAGATATGAAAGATTTCACTTTTGTGATAATCTTGGTATGCAACAGCAAAGATAAACAATAATTTGGGTTTTCTGAGTGGTTAGGCAATAGTGAATTTAATGAGTTACTTTTGTACAATTTTAATATGTATTAAGTTAAAATTGATTAGATAATTTTGAAAATGGTAGTGTATTACAGCATATCTTTTTGACCATAAAAACAGCAAGTATGATATATATACACAAGTGATAGTATACTTATGTTTACTGCAGAATGAGTTTATTGCTATTTATACCATCATAATTCTATGTCTTTTCTTAAATTGCTTATAGACATTTACATGTTTTTCTACTTTTAGGCACGAAGGAACTGACTCTCAACCAGACCTAGGAGATGTCATTGTTGTGTTAAACAGCTTCAAAAGCAAAATACTGGAAGTACAAGTGGGTGAGGCAGAAGCTTTTTATAGGCTTTGTTCTTAGTATTAAGAATTATCATTTTTGTCCTTAATTAATTGATTAATTTTTATTTTACAACTAATTTTACTACCTAAAATGTCATATTGGAACTCTGGCAATGAAAAGAAGAAGAGGATTAAGTTCATGAAGAGAAAACAGCTTAACGATAGAAGAAAAGGAATTTTATTTTTTTCAGTTATGATGTGTCTACTATATCTACTCTATCTGTAGCCAGGTAATACTGCAGATTGTCTAGAGATGAGATCAGGAACACGTTGAAAATTTAGCCCTGAAAAGAAAAAGTGATGTTTCTTTTCTTTACAAAAAACAACACAGAAACCAAAAAAATAGAGAAAAAGAATTTTTAGTGATGGCAGATTTAGTTCTTTCAGACCAACCTGCCTACTTAAAACTAGTAAAAATGTTAGGTAAAATGTTTTTTAAAAATCTTAAAAGTAATGAGGAGCTCACAATAATAAACAATAAAGGTAATAAGGAAATACAAAACGAAAAGTAAAGGGAAAATAAGAACCTAGTGAAGTAAGCAAGCACAGAAGCTTCTCTTGTCCCAAGAAAGCCACCGTTGCCCTGGGAACATCTGTCTGTCCTGGTCCACTTGAATTATCATTTTGATTTAATTTGCAGGGTGATGGGGACAGAAACTAAACCCTGGACCCACATAAAGTGGTAGTCTATTAGAAGACCTTCTCCACAGTAAGCTGGCTGTAGCTTCAGGGTAAGGGCGAACCATAATAAATTATCCCACACTGTCTTTTAGCCCAAATTTTTATCACCTTAAGTAGTCTAGGGAACCCTGAGCCTTAATTTTGCACTTAAAATAGTTCCAGATTGATAAGGTTGCACGTGCACCTGGCAAAAACATCCATATATCTCTGGAATAAGATTACTATATCCACATACACAAAGAAAACTGGCAGAAACAACAAACAACAGAAAGCAGATACACAAACACTACATATATTAGTATTATTGACACAGACTCTGAAGAAACTATGCTTACATTGTTTAAAGGAATAAAAGACAAGCTTAAAGACAATTGAAGGGAACAGGAAACTGTAAAAAACACGTATCCAATGTTTTTTTAAAGTAGAACCTCTAAGACTGAGCAATACAATAACCAAAATTAAGAATTCACTGGATGACTTTAACATGCCTGAAGAGAGGAATTAGTGAGTCGGAGGATAGACCAGAAAAAGTATCCCGAATGCAACAGGGATGTTAAAAACAAAAGAGGAAAATATGGCAGAGAGCATAAAAGGCAGGGAGAACACAGTGAAAAAATCTAAGATGCAAGGATTGCATTTAACCCTGGCTCCACCACTCACTAGATATGTGACCTTCAACAGATTACTTAACGCCTTTCTGTCTTATTTGTTTCATCTATCAAATGCACTTGACAGTAGAACCTCCCTTATATGTCTGTTATAAGGATAATATAGTAAGATAGATAGATTTGTAAAGTGCTTTCTGAGTTTTGAATAAATAAAATCAGTTTAAATGGAGTTTCAGAAGATGCTGAAAGAAACAACGAGGTACAGGTAATATTTGAAGCAACAGTGGCTGAGAATTTTCATGAATTGCTGAAAAATATCAATTTGCATATTCAAGAATTCCAGTGATTCCCAAGCAAGATAATTAAAAGTAAATCCACACCTAGACTCTTACTGATAAAAGTTCAGAAAACCGACGACAAAGAGAAATCTTAGGAGTAAACAGAGGAAAAAAGAAAAAATACCTGCAAAGAGCTATAGTTAGTCGGACAGTTGGTTTTTCAGCAGTAACAGTGAAAGCTGGAAGATGCTGGAATGATATTTAAAAGCACTAAGTGAGAAAAGGAATGCCAACCTAGAATAATTTACCCTGAAAAAGATATATTTCAAGAGGAAACATAAAACAGGGTATTTTCCGACAAATTGAAAAATTGAATTTGCCACAGCACACTCACACTAATGGAAATTCTAAAAGATTTACTTAAGGCAGAAAAAAAATTATCTCAGATGGAAAGTCTGAGTTTGAAAAAAGAATGAAATGAAAAGAAAATGGTAAATATGTGGATGAATCTATGAACAGTGAGTATATAAAACAAAAGTAATGTCTTATGAGAATTTTTAAAATATATAGAATTGAAAAATATAACAATAGCATTTAAGTGATAAGATAAATATGGTTGTTTGCAATTACACATAAAGTTCTTATATTGACAAGGGCAAGGGTAATGATTACTTTAGACTTTAGGGCAAATATGAATTTCTTTTTTACAGATTTTATTTTTTTCCTTTTTCTCCCCAAAGCCCCCCGGTACATAGTTGTATATTCTTCGTTGTGGGTCCTTCTAGTTGTGGCATGTGGGATGCTGCCTCAGCGTAGTTTGATGAGCAGTGCCAAGTCCGCGCCCAGGATTCGAACCAACGAAACTCTGGGCCTCCTGCAATGGAGCTCACGAACTTAACCACTCGGCCATGGGGCCAGCCCCCACAAATATGAATTTTTAATTTCTAAGATATCAACTGAAAGTATAGAAACAAGACATATTGTCATAGTAAAGAGAAAAAATGGAATGAAATAAATTTATCAATAAAAAGAGACTAAGAAAGGAGAAGAAATACAGTAGACCATATGGGACATGGAAGCACAAAACAGTAAATTAGAATTTAACCCAATTACATTAAATGTAAATGGACTAAATGTTCCAATCTTTAAAAGACAAAGATTGTTATGCTGGATTTTTTAAAAATCCCAGCTATATGTGGTTTGCAGAAAACATACCTAATGCATAAGAATACAGCTTCAGGGTGAGGATGGAAATAAAACACAAGCATGGAAAAAGTATAGTAGGCCAATACTAACCGAAACAAAGTTTGTATAGCTATACTAATATCAGAGATATTAGACATTAAGACAACATTACTAAAAGAAGATCATTTTTTATATATATATAAGGCAGAAATAGAGTTAAAAAGAGAAATTGACAATTGTCTACCATATTGGGATATTTTTAACACACATCTCTCACTACTTGATAGAACAAGCAGACCAATAAATCAGTGGAGGTATAGAAGACTTGAACAGTGTGATTATAAATCAACTAACAGACACATAGAACTCCACACCCAATAATACCAAATAATCTTTCAAACACACAGAAAATATTGATAAAATAAGCTTTACATTCAGTTGAAAAGCAAGTTTCAACAAATTTCAAAAGAATGAATACAGAGTATGTTCTCTACTATGCAGTAGAGGAGAAATTAATATCGAAAGATAACTGGGAAATACTCTTATGGTTGGGATCTCTAAGATCCACTAACAGTAGGTTACCAAAGCTCTCACCTATATATTGCCTAGATCCTAAGCTGTATCACCAAGTTATACCTTGCATCCCACATCATAACCTCTTCCTAACACCTCTGCTCTTTATCTTGTGATCAGTTGTACATGTTGCTCACACTCATCTTTGGTACTTTCTCTCCTATATTGACCTTGGGTTCCTTTCTCAATAATAACTTACATTCTCCTTGAATACGTTTCCTTCTGGTCATTCCAGATGAAAAACCCCACAAAACCCAGACCAGCTACTGAAGGTACTAAATTAGCTCTAGCCTTTAGGACCAGCATTCAAGCTAGTTTTATCCTGTGCTACAAACAGGAGAGAAAAACTATTTCTGCCAGGGATGGGGGTGGCAGCAGTTCTATCTTTAAGCAATTTTGGCCATTGAAAAATTAAGTTTTCTTGAGATGAATTTTTGCACTTTATGTATTGGTTCTAATTTGACCTGTTGATCTGTAGGATAGAGCAGGTCTAAGTCTTTCACCCATCAAATCTTTAAGGGTAATAATCATGCCCTATTTGAATCAAATATTCTACAGCCTTACTGCTTAGGTCCTTCTGTTGTTTTTTAGTAAAGCTGTTTTCTCTCTTCACAATCCGTCTCTCAGAATTACACAAAAAGACAGAGAAAAGGGAGGAGAAAAGATAAGCAAAATAGACGATCAGTTCATGAACTTTGGTACCCCACTAATCGGAATTCCAGGAGGACGAAACAGAGAAAATGGAAGAGGGAGAGTGTTCCACAGATAAAGAGAGAGAAAAATGTTCATGTCAAAAGGATCCACAGATTAGGATGAGTGAAAAATGGCCCACATAAGATCTTAATAACTGCAAGGAGAATAGGCAGGTCACTGCAATACAGTAACACTAATGCTGGCATCAGACTTTTCATTTTCAAAATGGATGTTAACAGCGAAACAAAGCCTTTAATGTTTTGAGGAAAATTATTTTGAACCTAGGACTCTTTAGCCAAATTCTTAACCAAATGTGAAGGCAAAAGTTATATTCTGAAGTGTCAAGATTTAGAAAAATTATTTTTCACACCCCTTCTTGAAGGTGTTTGCCAGCACAATGAAGATGAAGACCAAGAAACAGGAAGATAGGTAGTTCAAGAAATGGTGAAGTTAATCTGAAAACCCATACAAAGAAGGCCTAGAAAGAAACAGGCTGTTAATTGTTAAGCTCCAAGAAAAATGTCTTCAAGAAAACAGGAACTCTAGACAATTAAGTAACATCAGAAATATACTGGAAAATATTAGGTATGTGGTAGAGAAGAAATATATCTCACCACAAGAAAAAATAAATACAATAAGATTTCAAGAAGAAACACTTCCCTATTGGTGGAAAGTAAGACGACAGAATCCATTTGAACTAGCCAGTCTTCTGTGAGGGGCACAGTGGACACGTCATTGTAACTGTACAGAGGAAATACAATTGTAGTAGCCTTCAGACTCTTTAGTGAAAAGTATTTACGTTGTCACAGTAAGCACTTTTTACTGATTTTCAAGTTGTAGAAGAAACATAGCAAAATGTAAAACATATATTTACCGAAATAAATATAAATATATATATAGTGCTAAAATAGGGGTTTAGCTAATGTAAGTTGGGAGGTGGAGGGAAAAGGTAGAGATATTAGTGTGCTTGTCTTATAAACAGAGGATGCAAGAGGAACTGTTGAAGTTGTTAGAATAAAAAATAGAGATTTAAGTATTATTTAAGTTAGGAAAATACTCAGTGGGAGAGCTAATGATAAAGATGTTACTACCAAAATTTCCAGACCAAAAGGGGAAGGAAATGGTGGTGTAAGTGAGCTAATCATCTGTCATCAGAGAGAATAAATAACGTCTAAACTCTGTGAATCCAGATTTACTAGTAGATAACGTCTAAAGTTGATAAATCAGTAAATACAAGTATGAACACATTATTTAGCAGTATGGAGGTAACTACCAAAAGAACTAAACACAAGAAGTTGGACTGATAGTTGGAACCAGATTGTTCCATACTGTTGTACTAAGATCTTCCCTGGCTTCATTTACTGCAACTACCTTAAATTTACAAGGGTCACCTTGCCTGATGTGTTTCACTGTCTAACCATGCAGGATATTATGTAAAGCTACAAAATTCTAAAATTTTTCTTTACTGTGCTATCTAGGTGCAAAAAAAGCCAGACAAAATTAAGGAAAATGTCCTTACTGATAAAGATGAAAAAAAAGGAATGTGGGATTCCATTAAAAGGTAATTACAAATCGATATTTTAACACATAGCTGTAGATCCATCAGGAGTCTAGTATGTGGAAGCCCTGCCGAAGGTGAACATTTAAGTGAGGCATAGATCCTCTCCTGTAGGAAGGATGAAATACATGAATAAACGTTAATAATACAAGACAGGAAACTGGAGCTGTAAGACAGTTGAAAATAAAGTGCTCTAAAAACCAAGGGAGAAAAAGGCTATATCCAGTTAGGAGGAACCTCAGAAAAGACTCCTTGGAGAAGTGTGTGGCTAGGATGTGTTCTAAACGATGGACAGTATTTCAAAAGTTGAAGATAAAATGAAGGTACTTGGTTACGTGAAGTCAAAAAGATTGGGTATGTTCCTCAAGGAACAGAAAGTAGCCCAGGTTAGCTGGGACATTGACTATAATGATCTATAAGTTAGATTGGGACCTATATTAGTTAATCAAAAAAGGAATATATTGGCTCACATATCTAAAGAGTCCATGATGACTCTTTGGGCATTCAGATGATGGGATCTAGAAACTTTCTCTATCTCTTAGGTCAGTTATCTGTACCTCTCCTTCATTTTCAGATAAACGTTTCTGAGGGAAGGTTTGCCATCTCCAGTGGGAAGAGATTGTTTCTTTCCAAATAGTACCAACAGAAGTTCTAAAGTTGACTTAGTGGTCCAGCTGTAGCATGTGTCCCAAACTGAACTTACCGCTGTGATTCTGATTGACCAAGCTTGGGTCATATACTTACCTATAGAGCCAGCGAGATGGCCTGTCCCACCTAAACCTCGTAGAATGAAATTGGAGGAGGAATGGTCACGCCTCCCCACCCCCATCCCCACCCTCCCCCAAAGCTGGCCAAAATACTAGGTTATTGTTCCTAGAAGTGTAAAGGATGTTAGGCGAAAATAAAAGCTGCCTGCTGTATTCCACATCATAGAGAACTTTGAAAGTCTATTTTAGAGATTTGAACTTAATTTGAATTATGTTGAAGAACCATTGATCATTTTTATCAGGGGTAAGAAATAGAAACTTTAGGCCAAATAAGTTTAACAGCCTAAGCAGATTTTGTTAGACCAATCAGCACTCCCATCATTTTGGATTTCGCCCAGTTTAGGCCTGTTTTTCTATAGTTGACTCTTTGTTTGATAAGAAGAATCATGTTACTGTGTCAGAATGTGTATCGAGCTAGTTGCTGATAGAGAAAGGCTCAAGCTCACTCACTTTGAAATGATTTGGAAGGTAGCTGTGTTTGAGAGGGGATGATGAAACAGAATCTGGACATGTTAGAGAGTGTCTGTCCATGACCTTTCATTAAAACCAAAAGGCAGAAGCAAGAATGAATGAAGGTAACTGTTAAACTACGGCATAGCCGCTTGCTATGTACAAAAAGGACACCAAAACCAAAATAGCACTAAGAGTTAGAAAGAAGGTAAGTTTTGGGGATGGTAACTTCTCCAGTATTGTGTATATTATACTGCTTTCACTTTTGTCTTACTTTTAATCCTGACTTAGAGTGATTTCCCCCCCCACTGAATCAATTGTATGTGTCTTTTTATTTGCTGATTATAATAAGAAAAGATTTGAAAAATGATTCTGTCATAACAGTTCCTATTTGGCAAAATATATTCCACAATGATTATAAACTGTTTAGTTTTCCAAATTTTAGTCACTCTAAGTACCATTGCATATAAAAATGAGATTTTTAATTAAATGAAATTTTTAAATTGGAAAAAGAAAAAATTATATACTATGAACAGCCCAAATAAAAGGTTCAGTTACTTTTATATAGGAGATGGAGCATATCAAAAAAAAGCTGGTATGGGTCTAAATAGTGTTGAAGACAACAGCTGGTCCCAGATGAAGTGATCGTGACGTAGACCAGTGAATGGGTGTAGCTCCCTAATGCCCCTTGTTCCTCAAGGAGGGGCACCCAAGGTGCAGAGGTTTCCAGCTCTAAATTATAGCTGCCTTTTAGGACATTTTATTCTGGGGGAGCCACATGGGCAGCGCTCAAGGACCTACCCTCTTACCATGTATGAAAATTCTTGCTGTGCTATATTACACACTTGTGCCTTCTGTTTCTCCCCTCGTTATTGGCCTGTTCAGTAAAGTTTCGGTACATTAGATGTGGCCATGGCATGCCATAACTCATTTTTTGTTCTCAAAACAACTCTTGTAACTCACAGAGATTCAAAGATAGTACCTCATTAACCCAGAGACAATATAATTGCATTCTATGTTATAAATTTTTTAAAAATCATAGAACTTTGTGATTTGTCATATGTTTTAATATTAATAATTCACAATTGTTAGGATAAGAACTTGTTTATAGTGTAATAATTCTTCATTTTGAAAGGCATTCCTATTTTTATTGCTTATCAAATTTAGTATTTATATAAAGTTTGCAGATGTGTATTAAGAAACTGTCAATCACTACTTTTTTATTCCAAGTTTCACAAGAAGCTTGCATAAAGAAAAAGACAAAAAGGAAACAGACGTTCTAAACATTTTTTCAGTTGCTTCTGGCCATTTATATGAACGCTTTTTAAGGTAGGTATATTTTTGATCTAATGTTTTGAAAAGTAATACATTTACATGGTTCAAAAAGAATTTCAGAAGTTCAAAAGAATAAAATAAGGTGTAGTGAAAACATCTCCCACCTCTGTTTTCTTGATACCCAGTTCACTTTCCCACAGGCAACTAATATTATTACTTTCATTTCCTGCCAAAGATATCTGTAGACAAGCAAATATATATATATATATATATTTATTTATGTATATATATTTAACTCCTTTTTACCCAAATAGTAACAAAGATTATACTGCTCTGCACCTTTCTTTTTTCTTTCTTTTTTTTTACCTACAATTATGGGGAAAATATGTTTTTTAAATACAGTGAAATTTCTTGAGTTTGATACAGAATATCAGTGTTCTTGAAGGCTATAAAATGAACATATTTTGTAACAAGATAATGTGTGAAAAAAAGTATATGTAGTAAATTTTCCTTTTCCAGTGAAGAAATACCTGTTTCATAAAAAGGAGGAGGGGGTTTGTGTGGAAGAAAGCATATTTACAAACTACAATGGGCTATTTTTTAACTGTTTAGATAGAAGGATCCTAGAGAATGCCTCAAAACTGTTTGAATGTGTTGATATTTTAAGATGGAACATCTGTATCTTCTCCAGTGAGAGGGCTGTGATAGCAAAACAAGTGACCTGTCAACTTGTCAGGCTTCAAGTTTTGCACACCTGATATTAATTACACCATAAGAGAGCCGAGATTAGACTGTAGTTCAGCTAAGCAGGACTATTTCAGACTAGCTGCTTTCTTTGTCAGCTGAAACAAACAAAAGCAATCAATTTAGTCTGTCAGGTGTATGTGTGTGTGTGTCTATATATATATACTGATACATTACATGCTTGAGGAGCAGCCATGACATTTGAAAGTACTTCAGTCTGTTTCTCCATAATTCATAGTGAAAAACTTCTAAGTATTGCCTTTAAATATTTAAAAGTCTTAAGAAAAGTAGGATGAACTACTATTAATGTTGTTTGTGTTTAATGTTTTTTATACAGAATTATGATGCTTTCTGTTTTACGTAACACCAAAACACCAGTGAAATTCTGGTTTCTGAAAAATTATCTCTCACCAACATTTAAAGTAAGTATATTAACCTTTTTGTTATAGAATGGTTAAAATTTGAATAGTAAATTCTTTATATCATTGCAGGTTCATATAACATCTCTCTTTTCAGAATGAGTCTTTTGAAATGTATATTTACTCAAATTATTATTTTTAGTCAGTTTTAAAACTTTGGTATTCAGTATTTTTTATCTAGCTTAAGAAAAATTCTGTGCTGTTTTCATTTAAAGAATTGTTTAAAAGGACAGGAGGTGGTTTATTTTTAAGTAAACTCAAAATCAAAAGGATTAGTAGTTTTTCATGATAATGAATATAATTAAATAAAACTTGGCAATGAGAAATATGTACAGTTTGTCAATAAAAAGATTTGAATTCTGTTATATTTTGACAAAGATAGGCTAGGAGAGTGGTATGCAGAAAGGATGAAAACTGCCATAGAAAATAGTTTGATGGTACCGAGAACAATAGGCTGTTTTATCTCTGTGCAGCGCGTTGATTGCTGTGGCAGTTAGGGCACTATATTTGGAAGTCTGAGGCTTTTTGTGTTGAGAAGTTTTCAGATGGCCTGTTGGATTACCCTTTACTCAGCCCCACACTCCTGCTGCAAAGTGTACCTGGTTTCTTCCTATTCTTACTACAAGATAGGCTGATCTATGAAAATTAGGATCTTATTCAGCCAGTTTAAAGGAGTCTTCTATTTCTAGGCCAAAACCGGTGGTCAAAGCAGAAATAAAAATAGGCATGCATGCTTTTACTCCTTAATATTGTCAGGCGCATTGCTAAGTACTTTACCTACATTATTCTGTTGCTCTTCATAAAGTCTTATTCCCAGAAAACCAAGACTCAGAAATTACATAACTGGCCTGCACAGTTGGGAGGTATCCAAGACCACCCTTAGGTGCAGTAACCCACTAGAAGGACTCACAGAACTCAGAAAAGCAATTATACTCACAGTTATAGCTTCTTACAGCAAAAGGCTGCAGATTAAAATCAGCAAAGCAAGGAGACACATAGAGCAAGGTCCAAGGGAGACCAGACTCAGAGCTTCCAGTTGTCCTCTCCCAGTGGAGTCATGCAGACAGAGCTTATTTCTCCTAGCAGAAATGTGTGATCATACATGTGGAGTATTGACACCTAGGAAGCTCGCTCAAACTTGAGTATCCAGAGCTTTAATTGGAGGGTAGCTGCGGAGACCCATGTGACAGCCACTGTGGCTGACCTGAGCCTCTGGCCCCTGGAGGATGAGCTGATACCTTGTAGCCCAAGGTCCCCACCATATGTCACCTTGTTAGCCTAGGCTGTCTGATGTGACCCAAGGTCCCCAGGTAAATAAAATCAGTCTTACCAGGCAGGACAGTCCGAGGATAGGGGTTACTCCCAGGAGCCTGGGGCAAAGGGCTCAACCCTTCTTTGAGCAAGATTTGTCCTTTATAGCACAGGCCTGAGGTCAAACAGCTAATTGGGAACTTAGCTGAGATCTGAACCCAAGCATTCTGACCTCAAAGCCCAGGAGCTTAACCCTTATGTAACAGCTCCTCTGCCCTCACCACCAAGAGTGCCGCCTCCTGAGCTCGTCTGGCAGTGGACAAAAAACTAAAAAGAACCCATAAATGCAGACAAGAATTAGTCTGTATTTAGTAACAAACTAGTTTTAACAAACTAGTTTTTTAACATGTTATCCTCCTAGGCAAACACTGAATAGGGGGATTTAACTCTACATAAACCGAGATAATAAAATCTTAAAGATTCTCTTAGCAGGAAATGGTATTATTCACTAGAAATATACTGCTATGTCTGAATAAAAGTCTTTCCCCACTACATGGCCAAAAGTAATACCGTATCTGAAATAGTATTTCCCTTATTTTTGTAATGTATTTCTTTCTCTCAAAACGTTTGTCTTTTAAAAACTTTTCAGTGAAGTATGGTATATACAAGTCATAAGTGTGCAGCTTCAGTGAATTTTTATAAACTTAAAACACCTGTGTAACCAGCAACCGTATACAGAAACAGAAATTCCTGGTACCCTAGATCCTTTCCCTCCAGTGTTAAAAAACATGCCTCCTGGGGCCAGCCGGGTGGCGCAGCGGTTAAGTGCGCACGTTCTGCTTTGGCAGCCCGGGGTTCACCAGTTTGGATCCCCAGTGCTGACATGGCACTGCTTGGCAAGCCATGCTGTGGTAGGCATCACACATATAAAGTAAAGGAAGATGAGCACGGATGTTAGCTCAGGGCCAGTCTTCCTCAGCAAGAAGAGGAGGGTTGGTAGCAGATGTTAGCTCGGGGCTAATCTTCCTCAAAACAAAACAAAACAAAAACATACCTCCTCTCTTCCTTCAAATCTTTGGAATTAAACCTACTTAGGGAATAATCCTTTCCTGGCCATACTGTGTAAAATTGCAGTCCCTGCCAACAGTGTATTTCATTAACTGCTCTAGTTTAAACAGAATAAGATACTCTAAGCCTATAAGACACTGAATCAAATATCACATATTCAGACCACGATAACTACCTTGTATTTTCAATCCTTGAATTAAATAGTCATAAATATCTCACATGAAACTCATGTATAGAATCTAATTTATCAGTTTGTAACTCATTTTGTGTTTTTTGTGGGGGTGGTTTTGGTGAGGGAGATTGGCCCTGAGCTAACGTCTGTGCCAGTCTTCCTGTGTTTTGTATGTGGGATGCCGCCACAGCATGGCTTGATGAGCAGTGTGTAGCTTTGCACCTGGGATCCGAACCTGCAAACCCCAGGCTGCTAAAGCAGAGTGCGTGAGCTTAACCACTACGCCACTGAGCTGGCCCCTCATTTTGTGTTTTTTGTACACCCTTTTTATCTTTTTGTCTCTCTGACTAACCAATGTGTTGGCAAATACATAAACTGTTTGATGCATAGGTGCTCCAATATCCAAGGGCTTTTCCTTCTGTAGTCAGGTTTTCTCAAGTCAAACTTTAGTTGTAAAAGTAGGGGAACATTTATTGTAGTTAATAAGCTTGCTAGTTAATCTAGTGTACCTGTTTCTTAATGTCATTAAGTTATATAGTTTTATATATTCTTTATTTTTATATTTGTCATCATTTTCATATTTCTCACTAATAGGTATAAGTTGTAGAAGTACACATTTTACCAATTAGTTTGTAACAATTTATAGTAACCTCTACCTTTTAAAGTGTTAATTTTTTCTCTAAAATAAAAACTCCTTTCTCTTCTTGAACATATTCTTTGATTTATGTGTATGTGTTTGTTTTTAGGAGGTAATTCCCCACATGGCTGAGAAATATGGATTCCAGTATGAACTAGTCCAATATAAGTGGCCCCGTTGGCTTCATCAGCAGACTGAAAAGCAAAGGATTATTTGGGGTTACAAAATTCTTTTCCTTGATGTCCTTTTTCCTCTAGCAGTGGACAAAATCATTTTTGTTGATGCTGACCAGGTAATAAGATTAACTGTTGTTTTTAGTACTTAAACTTTCTTCTATACTTCTACCTGAGTGTAGGGACTCAGTTTATGTTGCTGGTGTTTATTATTATCTTTGTTGCTATTCTATGCAAATGTACAAGACATACTTATAATATATAAGCAAAGTATCTCTTAAAAAAAAAAACTGTCAGGGGCCGGCCCTGTGCCTAGTGATTGATTTCAGTGCACTCCACTTTGGAGACTCAGGTTCAGTTCCCAGGCACAGACCTACACCACTTATTGATGGCCATGCTGCAGCAGCAACCCACATACAAAATAGAGGAATATTGGCACAGATGTTAACTCAGGGCAAATCTTCCTCAAGCAAAAAGAGGAAGATTGGCAATGGATGTTAGCTCAGGGCAAATCTTCCTCAGCAAAAAAAAAAAAAAAAAAAAAAAAAATACCACTAGAATTCCAGGGAGAAATCAAAGGTATTGCAAAAAGTACCATTTATTATTTAGGACATGGCAGTTTTCTCTCTGAAGTAGTAGTTTTTTTTTTTTTTTTAGTTTTGGTCATTAAAAGTAAAACAAATGCTTACATTAGTCATAATATAAGTAGTTATATGAGTTCCTATGAATGTGAGCTGATGTTTGTTTAAAATAAGCTCAGTCTTCTTGCTGGAAAAGTTAGCTAATTACACATGACTCTCCTCTTGTTTTTCCACTTCAACAGCATTCTTTGACACTTAGCCAAAAACCAAGTCCTCATCATTCTACCACTTGAGGAAAAGAAAATGTCCCAAGTTTGGCCAAAAAAATCATTATGGTACTCAGCTTTCAAAATTTATCTATCCAAAAATTATTATGACTTTTCACCTTCTCTCCTTGCATGCCTTTGTAATCATTGATGGGAAAAAATATTTGAAAAATACACAGAATTTCTAAGAACAGTAATATGTAAATATTAATGCACAAGTTATTGTTTATATTTAGGACAAAAAGTATATTTTTAACTCCTATATTAGAATTTACTTCTATTATAAACTTTATTTTTTTATTTTCAAAATGGATAAATATGAATTATTATAATTAAAAACTAAGAAAACAGGCAAGCGTAGGTGATAAAGTAAGCATTTCTGTATATGCCATCTAACGTAAAATTTATTTCTCCTACCTTCCCCCACATTTACAGGAATATTTTTCCAGCAGACTAGAGTCTATTAAAAATGAAACATACTAACATTATTTCATTAAAGCCATTGAGGATAATCAGGAGATTTTTCTTTATGTTTCAAACTAATATTTGCCAATATACAATAATGGAGATTTATAATAAAAATAATTTTGAATTATTAATCCATACCTTGAGAAACTAAAAGCTATGCACTTACGTGATATTTAATTCCTTCCCAAAATACATTTTATTTAAACTATCGTGGTTAAAAATGATGTAACAAACTATTCTTCTTAATGAGTAAGACCACTGTCGTGTAGACTAGGTATATAAATTTTAGGTTTCTTTTAATCTGTAAGGACAAGAGAAAAAAATAGAAACTTAATAGACTCATACTGCACAAAAGAACTGTGAGGAAAATGCAGTTCTCTCTGTTTCTACAATAAGGTAATGATGATTTGAGATTTGCAAAAAAGGGCTCATATTATTTTATAGTTTTGATCAGAGAAACTATTTTAATTTAGATCGTGAGACATGACCTAAAAGAACTTCGAGATTTCAATCTGGATGGAGCTCCTTATGGATATACTCCGTTCTGTGATAGCCGCACTGAAATGGATGGATATCGCTTCTGGAAAACAGGATACTGGGCATCACATCTTTTAAGAAGGAAATATCATATCAGGTAAGAAAATTCATACTCTTACCTTTTAGTAAATAAATAACTTATTGAATCCCTATGCTCAGTTTTCTTAAAAATTATACAAAAATGGCAACCAATTATATAGTGCTTATTACGTGCCAGTCACTCTTATAAGACTTTACATATGTATTAACTCATCAAATCTGTGTGATGACCTTTTGAGATACACTTATTATCCCCATTTTATAGATGTGGATACTGAAGCATACAGCATTTATCTAACTTGCCCAGGTTTATGCTCTTAAGTACTTAGCTGAGCCAAGAGTTAAACCCAAGTAAGATGGCTCAAGGATATGCTCCTAACTACTGCAGGTTTAAACTGAGTTTAGCGAATAACAAAATAAAGATACTTTCTTCAAGCTGTTATTGTTTTGCAGGGCTTTGAGTTTCATGAGATCTTGGGAAAACCTGAGGTGACCCTAAGAGGATATGGGTCCTAACAGTATTATATCCAACTTCAAACTCCTTGGAAACAGCATTAGACATTGGGAGCAAATTTATGAAAGGATTCATTATTATTAGACTCAAGGATATTTAAAATTAATACCATTACTGTGGACAATCACTGGGGGAAAGTAGAATACATGCACGACATAGTCTATCAAGGAGTATTCATTTTTTGCAGCGCCTTATATGTAGTGGATCTCAAGAAGTTCAGGAGAATTGCAGCAGGTGACAGGCTCCGGGGCCAGTACCAGGCTCTCAGTCAAGATCCAAACAGCCTTTCAAACCTAGATCAGGTAAGTAAAATGCCCACAGAATAATTTTCAGTACATAGGTGTAGACTGCTCCAACTCCCTGCTTGTGAACTTCAGAATCTTATGTTTTCAGCCTCTTTCTCCCCTCTGTGCAATTCTCTATTGGATATCTTGACTTAGATATAACTTTTTCACTTCAAGCTCAACATTGTCGAAACTAATAGTATTTTATCCTCACTTTCCCGTCCTTAAACCTCTTCTTCCCCCATCTCACTTACCCTGTCTTTCTCTCACTTGGTTCCACCATCGTTTAAACATGTCTCTCTCTCGCTAATCTTTTAAGACTAACTCCCATCCTCTTGTGCCCCACCTGGCTACTGTTTTACTTTTTGTTTTTCCTAACAAACACTTTTTTTCTTCATACCTCAGTAATTTCTAGATTCACCTAACCTGCTACTCAGAACCTCCCAGAGTTATGGGTATAAGGAGTACACCTTCCCCAAGAGGGTCACTGGGAATGATGATAAGCAGGTCCGCTTCTGCTTTGCCCCCGTGGACCCATGTAGTTCTTCCAGATGGTAACACAGCACCATGTAATGGTTGGTGATTTAGAATATAATGCCGCATCTGGAGGATGACGCTTCACCCTTGCAGGGTATGGTCTCCCAGGTAGCACCTCTGTGTGCCTTCAGTAAACCATTTCATGCCTCTGTCAGGCCAGCAGTTTCTAGGTGGTGCAGTATGTGAGGGGAACATGGGATCTCTTGGTCATGTGCCCTCTGCTATGTTTCTTTGCTGTAAAGTGGGTCTCTTGGTCTAGTGCAATATTATATGGAATCCGATGTCAGTAGATAGCTCTGAAGCCCTTGGATAAGGGTGCTGGCTAAGTCTCTGAGAGCAGGAAAGGCAAACCCATACACAGAGTATGTGTATATTTTAGTTCAGAAGAATCTATGCCCCTTCCAGGGTAGAAAGAGTCTGGTGTAGTCACCTTGCCACAAAACAGTTGATTTGTCTTTGTAAAGTGTAAATGCTGCATCAGAAGCTCAGTGTTTGTCTCTGCTGCTGACAGCTGTAAGAGCTAGAACAGCCTTGGTTAAGTAGGAACCCATGCTATTGGGCCCATACGTAGTCTCCATCTCTGCCATCATGACTACTCCCTTCATGTACTCATTGTGCCGTTGGAGTGGCCAATGACCAAAGCTGGCTGACATCAAAAGGCCACATCATTCTGTCTGGTTGGTCATTTAGTGCTGCTTCTGTGTTGAATGCTTTCTGGTGGATATTTAACTTGCAATATGCAAAGATCTTGACAATTTTTGCCACCCCAGAGGTTCATTTATAAGCCTCTACCCCAGAATTTCTTGTTCTTAATCTTCCTCTTTCTGGGATCCTGACCAATCAGCCAAGCCATTCACCATTTCACATGAATTTATATATATTTTAGTCTTAGGTTACATCTCTGTGTTACATACAAAGTACATGATAAGGTGTGTCATCTGAAGCAGTTAAAACAATTCTCAGAGGTAAATTCATAGCACTAAGTACGTCTATTAGAAGAGAAAAAGGTCTCAAATAAATAATCTCAGCTTCTACCTAGAAACTAGAAAAAAAAGCCAGATAACACCAAAGTAAGTGGAAAAGGGGGAATAATTAAGATGGGCGTGGAAATCAGTGAAATGAAAAATCAGGAAAATGGTATATTTTCATAGATTTTCCTGTAAAGTCAAAACTGTTTCTTTGAGAAAATTAACAAAACTTATAGACCTCTAGCCAGACTGATCAGAAAAAAGATAAAAGACGCAAATTACTAATATAGAAGTGAGAGACATGACAGCATAGTATCTACAGGTATTGAAAGAATAATGAGGGACTATTATAAACAGCTTTATAGTAGTAAGTTAAACAATTTCTATGAAATGGACAAATTACATAAAAGATACAAACTACCAAAATGTACTCAAAGTGAAATAGGTAACCTGCATAGCCCTGTATCAATTGAAGAAATGGAATTTAGTTTAAATCTCCAGACCCAGATAGCTTCAAAGTGAATTCTCCCAAACATCAAAGAAATAATACCAATTCTACACAAACTCTTCCAGAAAATTGAAGAGGAGGGAATACTTCTCTACTCATTTTATGAAGCCAGCATTCTCTTGACATCAAGACCAGACGAAGACGTTACAAGAAAGGAAAACTGCAGACCAACATTCCTCATGAACAGATGTAAAAAGCTTTAATAAAATTTCAGGAAACCAAATCAAGCAATATATAAAAAAGACCCTATATCGTGCCTAAGTGGACTTTATCTCAGGAATGCAAGGTTCATTCAGTATTGAAATATCAATCATTGTAATTCACTGTATTAACAGACTGAAAAAGAAAAACCATATGACTGCTAAGTAGATGCAAAAGAGCATTTGATATACTCCAATATCCATTCCTAATAAAAACTCTCAGTGAACTAGGACAGGGAGGGAACTTCCTCAACCTGATAAAGGACATCTATGAAAAACCTGTAGCTAGCATCGTACTTAACGGTGAAAGACTGAATACTTTCCCCCTAAGATCAGGAACAAAGCAAGAATATCCACTCACGATTTCAACATTGTAATAGATGTACTAGACAGTACAGCAAGGCAAGAAAAAGAAATAAAAGGCATCCAGATGGGCAAGGAATAAGTAGCTGTCCTTTTTTTCAGACAATATGATCATCTATGTAGAAAACCCTACACATTCTACTAAAAAGCTACGAGGAACTAACAAATGTGTTTAACAAGGTGCAAGGTACAAGATCAGGATATGAAAATCAATTCTACTTCTGTGTACTAGCAACAAATTATTGGAAATTGGAATTAAAAAGATACTGTTTCTAATAGCATTTTTAAAATTAATGACTTAGATCAATCAGACTTAAGACGTGTAGACTAAAAACTATCAGACACTGCTGAGAGAGATTAAAGATCATCTAAATAAGTAAAGAGATATACCTTGTTCATGAGTCAGAGTATTTATGTGATTTCTCCCCTAATTGGTCTTTAGATTTAATAGAATTCCAATAAAAATGTAGGCTTTTTTCCTATAGACTTTCTTGTATAAACTTACAAAGTTGATTCTGAAGTTCATATAGAAATGCAGAAGACCTAAAATAGCAAAAACAACTTTGAAAAAGAACAAAGTTTGAGGTCTTAGATTATGTGATTCCAAGACTTAATATAAAGCTACTGTAATCAAAACAGTGTGGTTTGGTGTAAAGATAGACAATTCAGTCCATGAATCAGAATTAGAGCCACAAGTATGGGCAATTGACTTTTGACAAAGGTGCACAGGCAGTGCAGTGGAGAAAAGATAGCCTTTTCAACAAGTGGTGCTGGAACAATTAGACATCTATATGCAAAACAAAAACTTCCAATTCGTAACACACCAGATACAAAAATTAACTCAAAACACATATAGATCTAAAGCTAAAATGTAAAACTATAAAACTTTTAAAAGAAGATAGGGGAAAATCTCTGTGGCCTTGGATTACGCAGAGATTTTTTTTTAGATATGTTGTTAAAAGCACAATTCACAAAAGAAGGAAATTGATAAATATATAAAGAACTTTCAAAACTCATTAATAAGAAAGTAAACAATCTGATTTTCTTTAAATCATATTTTAACAGATCATTCATCAGGGATGATGATCAAGTGGCAATAAGCCCATGAAATGATGATACAGATCATTAGTTGTTGGGGAGATGAAAATTAAAACAACAGTAATTCTGCACACCTATTAGAATGGTTAACATTAAAAAGACTGGCCATGCCGAGTGCTGACAAGGACGTGCAGCAGCTGGAACTCCTGTACATTCCTGATGCGCATGTAAAATGGTACAGCCATTTTGGGAAACTGTTCGATGATTTCTTATAAATTTAAATTTACACCTACCATATGACCAGTCATTCCACTTTGAGGCATTTACCCAAGAGAAATGAAACCATATGTCTACATAAAGACTTGTGCGTGAATAGTCATAGTAGCCTTATTTGTAAAAGCCAAAATCTAGAAACAACCTTGTCTTAGTTATCTATTGCTGCATAACAACTTACCCCAAAACATAGCAACTGAAATAACAGTTTCTGTGGACCAGGAATCAGGGCCTGACTTAGCTGGGTGTTCTGCTTCACAGTCTTGCACAAGGCTGTGGTCATTGTGTTGACGCAGGGACTGCCACCTAATCTGAAGACCTAACTGGGCAAGGGCATTCATGTGGTTGTGGGCAGGATTCACTTCTTCAAGAACTGTTTCACTGAAGATGTTATTTCCTTGCTTGATGTTGACTCAGGAAATCATCAGTTTCTTGCCAGCTGGCCTTCTCCATTAGGGCAAACGTACCAGAAGGGTCAGAGGAGAGAGAATGCCAGCAAAACAGAAGTCACAGTCTTTTGTAATCTAATCCCAGAACTGATATCCTATTACTTTTGCCATTTTCTCTTTGTTAGAAGGAAGTCACTAGGTCCAGCCCCACTCCAGGAGAAAGAATTGCACAAGAGAAGGGGTCCCAGGAGGCAAGGATTGCTGGGAACCATATCAGAAGCTGCCTACCACAAACCCAAATGTCTATCAAGAGGAGATTGGATAACAAGATGATGATATATCCATAGAATGCTACTACTCAACAGTAAAAAGAAATGAATTATTCGTACATGTAACAACATGGCTCAATCTAAAAATAATTATGCTGATCTAAAGCCAGTCCAAAAGTATACATATTGTATGATTCTATTTGTATAATATTCTAGAAAATGCAGACTAACCATAGTGACAAAAAGCACTTCATTCTTGCCCAGGAACTAGGTAGGGTGAATGTGGGAAGGACAGGAGGACAGAATTGCAAAAGGGCACGAGGGAACTTTGGGATATATTCAGTGATCTTGATTGTGGTCATGGTGTCAGAGGAATATTTCTATGCAAAACTTAATCACACTGTACCCTTTAAATATGTACAGTGAGGGGCCAGCCTAATGTCATAGTGGTTAGGTTCGCGCTCTCTGCTTCAGCGGCCTGCGGTTCATGGGTTCAGATCCTGGGCGCAGACCTACACACCACTCATCAAACCATGCTGTGGTGGCATCCCACATACAAAACAGGGGAAGACTGGCACAGATGTTAGTTCAGCAACGATCTTGCTCACCAAAATATATATACATTTGTACATAGATGTATATGTATGGTGAGTAGACTGGCATAAGTTTAGACTATAGATCAAGGAATAGAATTGAGAGTCCAGGAATAAGCCCATGCATCTATGGTCACTTGATCTTTCACAAGCATGCCAGGATGGGGAAGAAATAGCTTTTTCCACAAAGGTGCTGGAACAACAGGCTATCCACATGTAAAAAATTAAGTTGGACCTCTGCCTCACACCATATACAAAAATTAACTCAAAAAAGATCAAAGACCTGAATGTAAAGAGCTAAAACTATAAAACTCTTAGAAAATATTGGCCTAAATCTTTGTGACTTTGGATTAGGCAATGGTTTCTTAGATATGAAACCAAAAGTACAAACAACAAAAGAAGAAAATAGATAAATAGGACTGCATCAAAATTAAAAACTTTTGTACATTAAAAGATACAAGAAAGTGAAAAGACAACCCACAGAATGGGAGAAAATATTTGCACATCGTATATCTGATAAGAGACTAGTATCAAGAACATATAAAGAGCTCTTACAACTCAATAACAAAAAGACAACCAGTTTAAAAAATTGTCAAAGGGGGCTGGCCTGGTGTCATAGTGGTAAAGTACACATGTTCTACTTCGGTGGCCCAGGGTTCACCGGTTCTGCTCCCAGGTGCAGGCCTACATGTCGCTCATCAAACCAAGCTGTGGCAGGCATCCCATATATAAAGTAGAGGAAGGTGGGCACAGATGTTAGCTCAGGGCCAATTGTCTTCAGCAAAAAGAGGAGGATTTGTGGCAGATGTTAGCTCAGGACTAATCTTCCTCAAAAAAATAAATGGTCAAAGGATTTAAATAGGTATTTTCCAAAGATGATATACAAATGGCCAATAAACACATGAAAAAATGTTCCAGCCTCATTGGTCATTAGGAACTGCAAATCAAATCCACAATAAGATACTACTTCATACCTACTAGGATGGCTATAATAAAAACGATGGACACTAAAGCATTGGCAAGGATATGGACAAATTGGAACCATCATACACTGCTGATGGGAATGTAAAATAGTGTAGCCAATTTGGAAAACCGTGTGGCAGGTCCTCAATCAATTAAACATAGAGTTACCAAATGACTCTGCAATTCCACTCCTAGGTATATACCCAAGAGAAGGCCCACACAGGAACTTGCACAGAAATGTTTATAGCAGCATTATTCATAAGAACTGGAAAGTGGAAACAACCCAAATGCCCATAAATTGATGAATGGTTAAACAAAATGTGGTATATCCATGAAATGGAATATTATTAAGCCACAAAAAGGAATGAAGTACTAAAACATGTTACAACAAGGATGGATCTTGAAAACATTATGCTAAGTGAAAGAAGCCAGATGTAAGAGAACACTTCGTGTTATATGATTTTATTTATATGATAAGTCTAGACTAGAGAAACTCATAGAAAAAGTAGATTATTGTTTACACAGAGGGTAAGGGAGAATATAAGAGGAGAATGAGTGAAATAATTAAGAAAGGGTTAGAACAGAATAGACATATGTATATATTGTCTGACAACATTAAGGTCCCCCTTAAGATCTCTGTTCATGAAGTTAAATGAAGGCAGTCTGCATGGGTTGTGTGTGTGTCTGTGTGTGTTGCCAGCCGTGTCTAGTTGCAAGAGTGCAAGTAAAGAGGTTTGGATTTAACCAGGACTACAATTTTCCCAAGCGAGTACAACTAACTGAGAAGAGTAAGGCAATGGAGAGTATATTCAAGAGATTAACTATAATAATTAACCATGAAAATTAAGCTATGGGAGCAAAGACATCAGGGAGTAAGGGACAATGAAGTAGTAAAAGGATCAATTGATTGGAGGTCCCGGTGAGGGTCACAAGGTATTGATATCTGAGTATTTGATAGAGTGAGCTGAAAATCAAGAGATGGTCAGAGAGTGAGAGCATGAAATTGAAATTATGTAGGAGTTGGCTAGGTCAGGACCATGGGAGAAAGTGGCTGAGACAAGATGACAGACCAGGTTATTTGAGGAATGGATTCCAAAAATAAGGGTGTTGGAAAAAATTAAGCTTTGTTTTTTTTAATGAACTTTATTTTTTTAGATCAGTTCTGATCTAAAATGATTTTTACAGAAAAAAATTGAGCAGAAAGTACAAATAATTCCCATATTTGGGGTTCTCTATTCTATTCCATTGATCTATTGTTGCGTATTCTTTTGCCAATACCACATTAATTACTGCAGATTTTAATAGTATGATGTCAAGTTCAGTAGTTTCATTCTCTGACTTTGTTCTTCAATACTGTGTTTACTATTCTCTGAGTCTTTTACCTTTCCATGTAAACTTTAGCATTGGTTGGTCGATATCCACAAAATAATTTTCTGGGAATTTGATTGAGATTGTGTTGAATCTATAGATCAAGTTGGGAAGAATTAACATCTTAACAATATTGAGTCTTCCTATCCATGGACATGGAATATCTCTCCATTTATTTAGATCTTCCTAGATTTCTTTCATCTGAATTTAGTAGTTTTCCTCACGTGGAGGAACATATTTTGTTAGATTTATACCTAAGTTTTCTGTTAGTTTGGTTTTTTTGGGGGGGTGGGGGGGTTGCTGCTAATATATAAGGGTATTATGTTTTTTATTCTAATTGTTCATTGCTGGTATATAGCAATTGACTTTTTTATATTAACCTTGTATCCTAAAACTTTGCTATAATTGCTTATTTGTTCCAGGAGGTTTTTTGTTGATTTTTGGGATTTTCTGCATAAACAATACCGTCATCTGTGAACAAAGACAGTTTTATTGCTTCCTTTCCAATCTGTATACCTTTTATTTCCTTTTCTTGTCTTGTTGCATTAGCTAGGACTTTCAATTTGGTGTTTAATAAGATTGTGGAGAGAAGAACCCTAAAATTATGAATCTTGAAACAGATGAGACAACTCACACACATACCTGTCATGGCCTCTGGGAGAGAGGAGCATCCCCTTTGCTCTGGAAAGCAAATAGATATTCTCTGGGGAGAGAAGGGGGAGGGCTCTACAACCCTGGCTTATAAACAAATATCTCCAGGGAAGGCATCTCCAAATCTCTGCAGAGGTCTCTCTTTTCAACTTATTAGGCTCATTTGCCACTTAAACATCCTTTAACCCCGGTGCCAGCAATCTTTACTTAGAAAGCCCTAAGCTTGCAGAAATGTGAAGATATTCATGGAGCATTGTTTCCTAACAGGGAAATGAAAAGTCGCCTCAGAAGCTGGAGAGTTTGGTGGTGACTAACATAAACAGTAATAGAAGGCACAGTTTGAGGGATTAATCCTGGTATTTCAAGGCAGAGAGAAGTAGTGAGGCTATCCATTTGGAGGAGTGTGGCGTGGTGGGTTTCTGGGCTTCCCTCTCCATCCCTGATGCTAGGAGTGAAGTCCAGGGCAGGTATGGGCTCAGTTGCAGTATGTGGGTTCATTCATGACACAAGATGATTGGGTCAAATTAAATACTTAAAGCTTAAAAATATAGAGATATCTCAGATTTGCATATGTTTTCTAGGATCTGTTTATAGTCTAAATGATATCTTCAACTTTGTTCACTCCGACTATAATTTCTACACCTCTTTGTGTAAATCATTGTTTTCTGTAGGATCTTCCCAATAATATGATTTACCAAGTTGCCATTAAGTCTCTTCCTCAAGACTGGCTGTGGTGTGAAACCTGGTGTGATGATGACTCCAAACAAAGAGCCAAAACAATTGATCTGGTGAGTGTCTGTGTTTTCATTTGTATATAAGCAGGTAAGAAAATATTCAGATAGAAATCCTTTCTGTTTTACAAATGGAATGGCACACATATGGTACACTGCTCCTTAGTCTATTATTTATTATTATATTTGGTTAGGATGGTGAGCATAGGGCTGTGTCAGGGGTCCCCCAAGACCACCCCAGGTTTGATGATTCACTAAGAGGACTCACAGGACTCAGACTATTGCCATGCTCATGGCTGTGATTTATTCCAGTTAAAGGATCCAAAGCAAAGTCAGCAAAGGGAAAAGGCACACAGGGTGGAAGTCCAGAGGAAACCAGGGGCAAGCTTCCAGGAGTTCTCCCCCGTGAAGTTACACCGGAGAAGCTTCATTCCTTAAGCTGTGAGAAAGTCCAGGATACATGTTGAATCTTGTCTACCAGGGAAGCTTATTAGAAACCAGAGCCCAGGGTTCTTATTGGGGGCTGATCACGTAATCACCCTCTCTGCCTGGCACGCACCAAAATTCCCAGCATCCAGAAGGAAAGCAGG